GTACTCGCCTTGCTACTAGCTGTTGAAAAATAGAGGTAGAAATTCAATCCTGGTGAGTGTGACATGGATGCTCCAACATTAATCTCTGTATATATATATATATATATATACACACACACACACACACACACACACACACACACACACACACACAACTGCAGTTCGTATCAAGTGTTCATTTGCTTAAACAGCAATATGACTGCAACCCATAAAGGGAATCCCTCAAGAACCCTACAAATACAACAAGAATAAAAACAAACAAAGATAAAGGTTGCGCCAATATAGACCATTAAGATAAAATGTAATAGGATGGGAATAAGGTATAAAAAAGTCTTAGCTGAACAGATCTTCTTTAGATCAGATAGTCTTTAAAGTGCTTGCGCAGGAACAATGTTCTCGCTGTCCTTCCCCAAGGGGATCCAGTATTACGAAAAGATAAAACAGATAAAAAACCAAATAGCGTAGTATGTCCAATATGGTACAACTGATAATAAAAGAAGATTGTAATGCACTCACATGTATTAGAGCTATAGCTAGCTCTAGTACACAAAGCGGACAGCGGTATAATCCCCGCTTATGGGATATGGTGCAGGCCTCTTCTCGCAAAGGTATGTTCAACTCTCAAAAAAAACAGAGAGAGACGACCAATAGTGCTCACTGGGTAAAACCATATAAATAAAATACATAAAAAGGTACTCACAAAAGTGGAGCAGACAGAATGCTCCTTGACAACAGCATTGGTGGTATAATCCCCACCTCAGGATTACTTGGAGTCCAGAATGATAAAATGCCAGGTAAAAATTAAAAAAATATATAAAAGATAACCAAAAATCTTTAATAGAATAAAAAATACACAGTATAAATATCCACAAACGCCAACAGGGCTTCTTCAATATGAAATAAGACATGGTACCTGGCAAGGTAAGTTTAAATAAGGGTATAATTGTTTAAAATTGGCGCCAAAACTAAGGGCAGCCAATGAAAATGCAGTAATAAATAAAAAGAATAAAACATTATAAAACACATTTTTTATATTAAATCTAATACATATACATTGAATATAGCTTAATGCTGAGATTAGATTTTAAAAACGAGCATTTATTAATTAGATTTTAGTATTTATATGCGGTCACGTGACATTCGTGACACCGCATAGGAGTATGGGAAATGTAGTTATGTGTGGTGCATGCGCGCATCCAAGGAGAGTAAAGTGTACGTCGGCACGCTCGGTACTGCGGCTGACGTATGAAGGGGGGCGTTGAAAGGGGCGCGCCTAACAGGTGGATGCGGCCAGTGAATGGGTGGGCGGGTGCGGCCAGTGAATGAATGGGTGGGCGGGTAAGAGGCGGTGAGAGCCGTGGCTGACGGCAGGGAGATAAAATTAGCAGAGATATAGATTAGGGTGCTGGTGTTTGGCCACTTATATAGTGAGGAACATGCCTGATAAAAAGAGGCACCTTTATAAAAAGGGAAGGGGAGATAAATAGTAAAATAATGATGGTGGAATTTAAACGTTGAACTAAAATGACTTGTTAAAGTCATAACTTGTTATAAAACATAAATAATAACAATAGATGGTAAAACATAGATATCATATAAAGCAAATGGAGGAAAGTACAGTTAAATTAGAAGAAATTAAATAAATCAAAGTCAGCATTTAAACCATGGGGTATAAGGGTCTGAAGCTTATACACCCATTCCATTTCAGTTTTCCCAAGAATGTTTTTTATATCACCTCCTCTCCAGGGGGTAATACATTTTTTTTATTCCCATACATTTTAACATTCTAGGATCTTTGTTGTGTTGAATAAAATGTTTGGATACCGAATGGTTCAGATATCCATTTTTAATGTTTCTGCGATGTTCACTTAGTCTTGTTAGTAAGCACCTTGTGGTCATTCCAACATACTGGAGGCCACAAGGGCATTCGAGCAGATAAATAACCTTTTTCATACTACAATTAATAAAATCATTAACTTTATAAACCTTTTTTGTCACATTAGAAGTGAATGTAGTTATTTTTGATGGTACTGTAGAATCAGTGGTTTTGCAGACTATACATGATTTACAGTTACAAAAACCCTTAATTTGGGGAAACAGGGATAAAGATGGTTTCTTTTTAGTTTCTCTAGTAAAGTTCTTTGTTAAAATTGTTTTAAAATTAGGGGCTCCTCTAAAAACTATATTAGGATGTTCGGGTAAAATTTTATTAAGAATTTCACCTTCTTTTAAAATATGCCAGTGCTTTCTTATGATCTTTTTTATATTTCCACTTTTATTGTTAAAATTAAAAATAATAGGTACAGGCATGGATTCATCTGTGGTTTTTGTTTTATATGTTAAAAGTTCATCTCTGTCTTTCTGTTGGATGGTGTTAACAGTGTCTGTTAAAACTAATTCAGAATATTTTTTTCAATAAACTATTTTTTAAATTCTGCTTGTTCGTTGAAATCATTTAATTCTGAACAGTTTCTTCTAAGTCGTAAAATTTGTCTCTTAGGGGCACTATCAAGCCAGGGTTGGTAGTGGCAACTAGATTTATCGATTGCAGTATTAACACAAACTTTCTTAAAAAAGGTCTTGGTGTGTATTTGTCAGTTTTTGATAAAAATATTGAGGTCTAAAAAGTTAATATGTTCCTTACTGTATTCGTGGGTTAAAATTATACCTCTATTGTTTTTAAGATGGTTAATAAAAGAAATAAGGTGATCTTCTGGACCATCCCAAATAAAAAAAGAGGTCATCAATATATTTAAAATAGGAGACTAGGTTTGCCCTCCAGGCATGGTCACCAAAAATGGCTTCGGACTCCCAATGGGCCATAAATAAATTAGCGTAGCTGGGGGCAAACCTAGTCCCCATCGCTATCCCTCTCTTTTGGAGATAAAAGGAATTTAAAAACCAGAAGTAATTGTTTTTTAAAATGATATCAATGCCTTCAAGGATAAAATCTATTTGTTTATCGGCTATCTTTCCTTCTCCCATTAGAATGTCCTTGATTGCTTGGCAGCCAATATTGTGGGGTATAATTGTATAAAGAGATTGAACATCACATGTAACAAGTAAAACATTGGGTTTCCATTTAAAATTATTTAAAAACTTTAATAATACCATAGAATCTTGGAGGTAGGATCTCATTAGCTTAACAAAGGGTTGGAGGAGGGTGTCTATATATTGGGAAAGATTACAGAGGAGTGAACCTATACCAGACACAATTGGTCTCCCTGGGGGTTTGGATTAATTTTTGTGTATTTTTGGAAGAAAATATATAACAGGTATTTTAGGAAACTTTATGTTTAAAAAATTAAATTCATGTTTGTTTTAGATTTTTGAATCTAAACCTTTGCTTAAGAATTGAATTAAAATGGCTTGTATCTGGGTTGTTGGATCTGATGAAAGTTTTGTGTATACATCTATATCGTTCAATTGTCTATGTGCCTCCTCTATGTACATTGTACTAGATAGAATCACTAACCCTCCGCCTTTGTCTGCTGGTTTAATTACTATGCTAGTATCTTCATGAAGCTCTTTGAGTGCATTCCTTTCTGCATGTGTGAGGTTGTGCGAATCATACTTATTTTTTATTTTTTCGAGATCTTTTGTGATTAGTTTTTCAAACATGGTTAAAGGAGTGGATTTAAAATGAGCAGGATAAAATGTAGATTTCTCTCTCAGTTGTGTGTTGATTATCTGGTTATCTGTTTGGGATGAAAGGGAGGGTAAAATAGGAGTTTCTTCATGTTTGTCTATAAAAAAAAAATCTCTTTAGTGTAGCTTTATGGGCAAATTTGTTTACATCTAGGAAAGCTTCGTAAGATTTAAAAGAGTTGGTTGGGGCAACTTTCAGACCTTTATTTAAAACCGATATTTGTGCAATGCTTAAAACTTTTAGTGAAAGGTTAAAAATGCCGGAGTTGGTGTTGTTTTGTGTGTTCATTATCTTTCTAGCCTTTTTTGCTCACGTCTCCCACTTCTTCTTCTTCTAAACTTAAAATCCTTTTTTGTGATCGTGAGGGGTGTGGTGTTTGGACTGTTGTATTGGGGTGTGTTCGAATTTCTAAAAAATGATCTTCATTATCGAATTCTGAGTCTAGTGACAATAGTTGGTATCTATTTTGGTGACTTGGAATCGTGGGTGATTTTAAGGAATTGGAATATTCTCTGTGGTCATTGATGTATCTGGATCTTTGTGGTTTGGGTGAGAGGTGCTTGTTGTTGGAATATGTTGGTGATTGGGGGGTAGTGTGATAGGTTCTTTATGAGTTTTTACGATTGTGTTGGGGTGGACGATATTGGTTAGTGTTAGGATTGTGTGATTTTTGTGGGGGGCCGTGGTATTGATTAGTTGGGGCTCTGTGTGTACGTATCTTTTGTGGTGAGTGGGTGGGGTTCCTTGGTTTAAAGTTTTCGTATTGTAGAGGTTGATGGTTAAAGAGACATGTATCTGAATTCCTATATTTCCTTGACAAATAACAATTTGGTGAGAGCACACAAAATAAGAAAATACTATCCACACTGCAGTCAATTCATCTGGAAGAAACCAAATAAAAGAGACATAGGGTAGTATAGTCTAATACAATCAATTAAAAGTAGGTGTCAATCTCACTCACATAGAGAGCCATGTAATTAGCTGGCTCAAACTGAATGCCTTGAATACACAGCAGGACCTCCACTGGGAACTTATTTCTTTATGTGTAAAACCTCCAGGACGCAGAATAGCAGGGGGTAAAACCACTTTATTCTTCATAAAATCTTGAAGTAAAAAAAAAAACAGATATAAAAAATAAATTGAAGTCCCAAAATAAGAGTCCAGTCACTTGACGCGTTTCGGCTGTTTGCCTCCATCCGAAGTGATTTGCCATTTGATGTATGTTGGTTCTTTCGTAATTATTTTGTCTATATGGGCCATCTTTGTTGGTGGTGTGGTTTAGAGAAGTGTATCTTTTATTGAGGTGGTAAGTTCTGACCTGTTTATTAGAATAATCGGTTTTGTCCCTTATATATTTTTTGATTTTAATATGCTTTGTGTCTATTTCAACTTTTTCAATTTTACTTTGTATTAGTATAGAGTTTTGTTTGTACGCCTTGGTCTCAGTGAAAGGTAGGAGTTTTTCTTTAAGGTCATTTATTTCTACATCTAAAAGTAGACAGTTTTTTGCTTTTTTTATTATTAAAGTTTCCATGAGACCAAGGGTACAAAGTTCAAGTTTATTATTCCATTCTTCCATAAATTCTAGATCATCTTGATCAGAGGTAGGTAGTTTGAGTAGTCTTAGACCACGGGGAGTGATTTGTTCGTCAATATATTTTTTTAGGGTTGCTATCTCCCACTTTAGCTTTATTTCCAAACCTAATGCTTTTTCTAGTTTAGTAAACAATACTTCTTGACTTAAACTAGGATAATTTATTTGAATAGGGCTAATAGCCTCTGTATCGAATACATTTGCAATATCAATAATATAATGGTTTTAAATTAAAAATAGACATCCTAAAGAGTTAAAAAAGCAGCAGACCCAAGACGGAATTAGAACAGAATAAAATCAAGAAAGAGAGTAAGCGCTAAAATAACAATAAGGCTGCAACCCTTAAAGGGAATCCCTCAAGGACCCTTCAAATACAACAAGAATAAAAACAATCAAAGATAAAGGTTGCGCCAATATAGACCAGTAAAATAGAATATAAAATGTAAAAAATTATGCACTGGCATATTTTTAAAAAAGATGAAATTCTTAATAAAATTTTACCCGAACATCCTAATATAGTTTTTAGATGTGCCCCTAATTTTAAAACAATCTAAAAACACATGGATTTCAAGATCAGAGACAGCATGGGTTTACTTCAGGGAGATCATGCCAAACTAATCTTATTGATTTGGTAACTAAAATTATAGATCAGGGTGGGGCAGTAGACATTGCTTACCTAGATTTCAGTAAGGCTTTTGATACTGTTGCACATAGAAGGCTTATCAATAAACTGCAATCTTTAAGTTTGGATACCAATATTGTTGAATGGGTAAGGCAGTGGCTGAGTGACAGGCAACAGAGGGTTGTAGCTAATGGAACATATTATTCGAAGCTTGGACTTGTCACCAGTGGGGTACCTCAGGGATCTGTACTTGGACCCATTCTCTTTAATATTTTTATTAGTGATATTGCAGAAGGTCTTGATGGTAAGGTATGTCTTTTTGCTGATGATACTAAGATATGTAACAGGGTTGATGTTCCAGGAGGGATAAGCCAAATGACAAATGATTTAGGTAAACTAGAAAAATGGTCAGAATTGTGGCAACTGACATTTAATGTGGATAAGTGCAAGATAATGCATCTTGGACGTAAAAACCCAAGGGCAGAGTACAGAATATTTGATAGAGTCCTAACCTCAACATCTGAGGAAAGGGATTTAGGGGTGATTATTTCTGATGACTTAAAGGTAGGCAGACAATGTAATAGAGCAGCAGGAAATGCTAGCAGAATACTTGGTTGTATAGGGAGAGGTATTAGCAGTAGAAAGAGGAAGAAGTGCTCATGCCATTATACAGAACACTGGTGAGACCTAACTTGGAATATTGTACACAGTACTGGAGACCGTATCTTCAGAAGGATATTGATACCTTAGAGAGAGTTCAGAGAAGGGCTACTAAACTGGTTCATGGATTGCGGGATAAAACTTACCAGGAAAGGTTAGAGGATCTTAACATGTATAGCTTGGAGGAAAGACGAGACAGGGGGGATATGATAGAAATATTTAAATATATAAAGGGAATCAACACAGTAAAGGAGGAGACTATATTTAAAAGAAGAAAAACTACCACAACAATAGGACAGTCTTAAATTAGAGGGACAAAGGTTTAAAATGAATATCAGGAAGTATTACTTTACTGAGAGGGTAGTGGATGCATGGAATAGCCTTCCAGCTGAAGTGGTAGAGGTTAACACAGTAAAGGAGTTTAAGCATGCGTGGGATAGGCATAAGGCTATCCTAACTATAAGATAAGTCCAGGGACTAATGAAAGTATTTAGAAAATTGGGCAGACTAGATGGGCCGAATGGTTCTTATCTGCCGTCACATTCTATGTTTCTATGTTTTTAATTTTAACAAAGAACTTTACTAGAGAAACTAAAAAGAAACCATCTTTATCCCTGTTTCCCCAAATTAAGGGTTTTTGTAAATGTAAATCTTGTATAGTCTGCAAAACCACTGATTCTACAGTACCATCAAAATAACTACATTCACTTCTAATGTGACAAAAAAGGTTTATAAAGTTAATGATTTTATAAATTGTAGTATGAAAAAGGTTATTTATCTGCTCGAATGCCCTTGTGGCCTCCAGTATGTTGGAATGACCACAAGGTGCTTACTAACAAGACTAAGTGAACATCGCAGAAACATTAAAAATGGATATCTGAACCATTCAGTATCCAAACATTTTATTCAACACAACAAAGATCCTAGAATGTTAAAATGTATGGGAATAAAAAAAATGAATTACCCCCTGGAGAGGAGGTGATATAAAAAACATTCTTGGGAAAACTGAAATGGAATGGGTGTATAAGCTTCAGACCCTTATACCCCATGGTTTAAATGCTGACTTTGATTTATTTAATTTCTTCTAATTTAAAGGACCACTCTAGGCACCCAGACCACTTCAGCTTAATGAAGTGGTGTGGGTGCTGGTCCAGCTAGGGTTAACCCATTTTTTCATAAACATAGCAGTTTCAGAGAAACTGCTATGTTTATGAATGGGTTAAGCCTTCCCCCTAATCCTCTAGTGGCTGTCTCATTGACAGCCACTAGAGGCGCTTGCGTGCTGTTGGCGAAACGCGTTTGTGGATATTTATACTGTGTATTTTATTCTATTAAAACATTTTGGTCACCTTTTATTGTGCCAATTATCTTTTAATACACTTTATATATTTTTTTATAATTTTTACCTGGCATTTTATCATTCTGGACTCCAAGTACTTCTGAGGTGGGGATTATACCACCAACGCTGTTGTCAAGGAGCAGTCTGTCTGCTCCACTCTTGTGAGTACCTTTTTATGTATTTTATTTGTATTGTTTTACCCAGTGAGCACTATTGGTCGTCTCTCTCTGTTTTTTATGAGTGTTGAACATACCTTTGTGAGAAGAGGCCTGCACCATATCCCATAAGCGGGGATTATACCGCTGTGTGCTTTTTATACTAGAGCTAGCTTTAGCTCTAATACATGTGAGTGCATTACCATCTTTTATTATCAGTTGTACCATATTGGACATATGCTATTTGTTTTTTTATCTGTTTTATCTTTTCAGAATACCGGATCCCCTTGGTGAAGGACAAAGAGAACATTGTTCCTGAACAAGCACTTTAAAGACTATCTGATCTAAAGAAGATCTGTTCAGCTAAGACTTTTATACCTTAAACCCATCCTATTACATTTTATATTATATTTTACTGGTCTATATTGGCGCAACCTTTATCTTTGTTTGTATTCTAGCAATATAACATATGCCTATTAACAAAATGTCCACTAATAGGATGCTTAAAAGCTGAAGTCCTTTGCTACTAGCCAGGCATAAAAAGTTACTTGCCAGTTAGAGCATTATAGGTTGAATTTTAACTCACTAGTGGCTAGTGGAAATTATGAGCCCTACACTAATATAATTGTGAGTGTGCTAGGCATGTGCATGGGGAAAAGTTTATTTTCTAATTTCAGCTAAAACGAAAATTTCGTCAGAAAGTTTCATTAATTTCCAAAATTCAAACACCCATTGTTCTCTATAAGGAATTAATGAAATTGGAAACGTTACAAACCTAGGGCATACATCTAGGATTGGAGCAAGGATTTGATGCCCTAGTCAACAAAAAAATATGCCGGCTCCTAATACTCGCCATCATATGAATCACACCCATTTCTAAATTTTGATCTTATAGCTATTTTGTATACAATAATATTTTTTACTAGATATAGATAAATTAACTCATAATTAGTAACATCATTATTAAATAATAAATGTTCTTGAAAGCAGTATTTTACGAATAAATAAATAATTTTACAGAGCGTCAGTGTGTGTGTGTGTGTGTGTGTCATTAGAGACTTAGCTTTCTAGATGAAAGCAGCTTCTTGAATTTCAGCAGTTGTTGTCCCATCACATGTACAGACAGAGGGGAGAAACAAACTACTACTTTTAACAATTGTTTAAAGTATAGGGGAAAATAAAATTGGATTTTATTTTACATTTATATTACTACCACAAGCAACCCAAGAAAAAAAAAAAAGAGAAAGAGCGAGAAAGGTGAAGTGAGTGAGCAGTTGACAACCACCAACTAGTTTATGGCTCAGGGCCAAATCATTTGCACTCCAGTCCTTGGCATGTGGAGTGAACTTTCAATGTGCAAAACAGTGCCCAAGCGAGAAAGAGAGAAATGGAAAATGATGAAAGTAGAAGGTGGAGTGAGTCGGGCAAACTATGTATCTGGGTGCAAACTTCATAGAGGGTACCATCAACCTTATATGTCGTGAAGAAAGCCAAATTTTGTCACCAACCTGGTACACAGGCGTGGCACCATGCCGCTTGTCAGCCTGACATTTAAAACAAGCAGCAACGTTTAAAGCATCATGAACCTGAGTTCAAGTGTCACGTATGAGATTCAAATGAACATGTAAATAAGGAATGGCAGTATCAGAAAATGGAGTAGGCAAGACAGTAGGATGCCAACCGTTAGTAACAAAGAATGGACTTAGACCTGATGAATCCATGAGTGGTAATGTTCCTAGCAAACTCAGCCCATGGTAACAAATCAGACTAGTTCTCTTGCGTGCTATAAATGAAACAACGTAAGTATTGTTCCAAGGACTGGTTAGCTCTTTCAGCTGCTCCATTAGTCTGTGGATGATAGGATGAGGATAATGATAATTCATACCCAATTGTTTGCTGAAAGATCTCCAAAACCTAGATACAAAGTAAGAACCCCTGTCAGACACAATATTCAGTGGAATACCATGTAACCCAAATATCTCCTTTATGAATATGTGTACGAGTTCTTGGGCGGTAGGCAGCTTCTTAAGTGGAATGAAATGCGCCATCTTACAGAACCAGTCAATGACCATTAGTATGGTGCTAAAACATTTAGAGACTGGAAGTTCGACAATAAAGTCCAAAGCTAGATGGGACCATGGAATGTGAGATATAGGAAGTGGTTGTAGCAAACCACATTGCTGTATATGTGGAACTTTGGAAACAGCACAAACCGTGCATGCTGTAACATACTCTTATATCCTTTTTACGAGAAGGCCACCAAAACATTCTGGTGACAGCAGATATTTTCCTGATATTGGGATGTCCTGCTGTTACATTGTCATGAAATACCCCCAATATTTTTCTCTCCTTAAGTGGTATGTACAATTTACTCTGAGGTTTGTCGCTGGGAGTCTGTGTCTGAGCTGTCATAATGGTACTAAGAAGAGGTGAGGACAACGTAAGAACAGTAGAGGCAATAATGCATTGAGGAGGTATGATAGGATAAATCTCTTGCTCCTGTTTTTACTCGGAATCATATTGCCTAGATAGGGCAGCGGCTTTGACGTTTCTTATGCCTGGTCTGTATGTAATCGCAAAATTGAAACGTGACAAGAACAGCAAGACAGTCTCTTGGCTTCAGCTATGTAAGCCAGATTCTTGTGATCAGTGATGATCAAAAGTGAATCTTTAGAACCCTACAAAAGATTTCACCATTCTTTTAATGCCAGGATAATGGCTAACAGTTTTCTGTTGCCTACATCACAGTTTCTTTCTGCCGGCGACAGCTTTCTGGAGAAAAACCCAGGTGTAAAGGGGTGTCCTGTCTTTCCCTCTGAGATAGAAGAGCACCTACCCCAATTTCTGATGCATCTACCTCTACTATAAAAGGTGTGCTGGTATCCAGGTGCACCAGTATGGGAGCAGAAGCAAAAAAAGTCTGCGATTATCAAATGCTTTGTTAGCTTTCTGTGACAATATGTGACAGTTTACACCCTTACGAGTTAGTTTAGTAATGGGGGCTATAACGGTAGAGAACCCCTTTACGAACTTACAATAATAATTGGCAAAGCCTAGAAAACGCTGAATAGCTTTCAGTCCACGGGGTAGTGGTCAATGCAGAACTGCCTCAACTTTTTGTGGATCCATTTGCAAACCAGAAATCACATAACTTAGGAACTGAATCTCTGATCAAATAGGCACTGTTCAAGTTTACAGTATAACCCATTTTTAGTAGACTTTATAAAACTTGTTTTACATGCCTGTGGTGAGTAGAGAGATCTGAAGAATACATGAGTATATCGTCAAGATACATCAATACAAATTAATAAATTCTCCAAGCACATAATTTATAAGATCCTGAAACACGGCTGGGGCATTACATAAGCCAAAAGGCATGACTAACTACTCGTAATGTCCATTTCTAGTCTTGAAAGCCATTTTTCACTCATGTCCCACCTTTATCCGCACTTCTAAGGTCGAGTCTGGTAAAAACTTTGGCACCTAGGAGTCTGTCAAATAATTCTGAAATGAGCGGTATAGGATAGGCATTTTTTTACAGTGATCTTATTTAATGCCCTATAGTTGAATCGGAGACGTAGATCTCCTTTTTGAGATACAAAGAAGAAACCAGCATCGGCTGGAGAAGAAGATCTACCTATGTGACAGTTAAACAAGGACTCTTATGTATCCTCCATGATTTTGCTTTTTTGAGGGGATAAGGTATATACACCACCCTTAGGGGGTATAGTACCAGGAAGCAAATCAATCGTAAGACCTGTGAAGAGGTAAAACATCAGTATGTAAACACTTCTTTAACCTCCAAATAGGTGACAGGAAGCTCAGTAGAAAGAGGAGCAGTAGTAGGTACATTAACCACGCCCAAGCTCTTATAAACTGGTTGAATACACTTAAGTCTGCATTCACCACTCCATTCTAGAATCTCACCCTTAACACAATTAATACGAGAATTGTGCTTGAAAAGCCATGAAAAACCAAGTATTATGGGACAAGAAGGAGACAAGTTCCTTGTGTAAAGCCCTACTGTTAAGGTGAGAGGTAAGGTTTCCTGTGTGATCAGAGGTTTGGACAGTGGTCTACCATCTATGGCCTTAATGGCCAAAGGTGTGGTTCTTTCTTTGAGTGGCACTACGTTGTTGGTAACAAACAGTTGGTCTATAAAGTTTTCAGCTGCACCACAATCAACCAAAGCATCACACGAGAAATTTGCATTATTGCTTTGGGGAAAAAGAGAAAGCATAAACCTATTGTGAGGCATACCAGAGGACATATACAGCACACCTAAGGCCGGTCTCCGGACGGTTCAACAATATAAACAGAGTCCTTTCTTTCTCCTATATAGTTTTTCAGCCTCGGATAATTTCATCACACCTAATTGCATGGGTTCAGGTTCAGGAGGGGGAGATGGAGCAGGTAAAACAGGGGTAGAGAAACAGGGAGCAATAGACAAGTTGGAATGTCTAGTTCTATTTCTGGTTCTGTCTATCTCTTAGACGGTTATCAATATGCATCATGTACTGATTAAGTTTTTCTGGTAATTCTTTAGCAGCAGTCTCATCAAGTACTTGAAAACCAGAGTAATCTGAATGTATCTTTCCTGGTTAACTACTTTGTTATTGTTGCCATTATTACTGCAGACAGAACTTCGGAAAAGGTATCGATTACACCGCTGTTAATTCAGTCGACCTCTGAAGCAAGGGTACAAAATTCAATGGTGTACTCTGCAACAGACCTATTACCTTGTTTTATAGGCATTAATGCTTTGACAGCGGTTTTCTCTTTACCCAATGGCTCAAATGTCAGTTTAAACTCAGTAAGGAATTCTTTATAGTCATACGCTATAGATTTATTGCTCTGCCATAGAGGATTGACCAATGTTAAGGCCTTATCTGTCAATTGGTTCATTAGATAATCTATTTTGGATCTATCAGAAGGGAATGATCCAGGAGACGCCTCAAAGTGATATTCTATTTAATTAAGAAATCCTCGAGACTCCTAAATGAGGAGGAAGTGATAAGGATATCCAAGGAACCTTATACACAATAGGAATACTCACAACAGGAGGGGTAGGAACTGACTGGCTGAAGATGCTGTACGGGCTAGGAGCGGTTGGTAGCCCTGGGCAAATTGATCTATGCGGCGATCATTTTCCTCCAGTCTCCTCTCGCAAGCCAACATGTGTTGACAAAATTCTACAGGGTCCATGTCCCTGTTATAATGTCATGATTACTGTGTGACTCAACACGCAAAACTATATAAACACAAACAATGTATAACGGACCATAAAAGATTGAGGTACGTTTTTATTTCCTTTTTCGGCATTACCGCCATGCTCACGTGTGGCCGCCCCAATCAGGGGCTTAATAGTCTCAGTTCTATCGGCAAGACTGCATTGATCAGGCGCGGTCACGCCGATACCATCACCCTGTGCCATGACACCTACCCATTCTTCCTTGCTTAAGGGGATAACCATTCCAATTAAAATAACCATAAGCCATGGTATGAATTGCTTTCTGCTACTCCAGAACGCACTCTAGCATCTCCAAAATGAGATATCCACCTAGTCCCTACATCTTGTTTAAGACGGTAATGCTCAATATTTGCCTGTTCTTTTCTCAGAAGCTACCTGTCCTGAACACTATGGTGGAAGTGACAAGCAGTCTTCCTACAAGACTCAGGAAGGATTGCCAGCCTTCCAGTGCTTTCCTCAATTAGAGCTGCCTTCACTACCAGATGAAGACATGGGCTGAGCAGCGAACACCTACAAGTTGGCCATCACAGAAAGCCTTGACCATATTTGCTGTCCTAGTAACCATCTTCTTCAGTTCCTGCAAAATACTTTCTGAGGTTTGCTGCTTATTCCTCACCTCAGCGCGGGGGAGGAAGGAACGGTGCCACTGATTGCCTACTGACCAATAGTCATTGCACCTGAGCTTACTACCCCATGATTGTAAAAATTACAAAATGACCAAAAATAGTTTAGTCAGAAAAAGAATACAACAAACATTTAATTATATTAACCCCATCATGGGTGCTTTCCACTCCCTGTGTGGAGTGTGGAGGCTCCAATTTAAAGAAGGTTAGTTGGAAAGATCTCTGCACACCCTCCATGTCTCCACAGTCTGGATAATGTAATTCAATTAAGTGGGGTGTTCCCCCCCCCCTCTCCTAATTTCTGTCTCTGCACACTGTTTTCTGTCACTATAGAACCTGCTCTCCTTGAAAGATTCCAGAAAGTTTACTAGTTATTTCTCATCCACTTGTTTATTTTGTAGGGCACCCGTGGATAACAGGTACAGCTTTTCTTATTACTGCTAGGAAACAGAGCCAATCATGTGCAGGACCTTCCTATTTAAAAAGAGTTCTCTGACTGTTCTGGGATCTTTTGTAATTGGTGAGCTCTTTGTCCTATACAGAGTTCCCATTTTTGACAATTCTTGATCTCCTGTATTTGTGTATAAGAACCCGCTTGTATGACTACCCGGTTTGTGTACCATACCCAGCTTTGTTCATCAACCTGTTCCAGTCTGTAATACTGACTTTGGCCTGTTTGACTATGACTGCTGTTTCCTGTACCAGCTGTTATTTTTTTAATCCTGTACACAGCTTTGTTTATTTTCTATTTTTTGGTTCTGGCTTGAAGTATTTCTCTAGTTTTAGTCGTGTTATTTTGTGGTTCCTGTTTTACATTAAGCCTGGCCACTTTAAGTTCCTGTAATACACCTCTTCAGTCTTTCATTCTTTGTCTTGTTAGGATTGCTGTCTCTCCTCTTAAATACATAATAAAGGGAAGGTGGGGGATGACAGTGTTCCCCCACCGTGGCCAGCAGTTGAGGGCTTTAAAATGCTGGGAGCTTTAACCAGTGGATGAGGGTTTCCATTTACAGATCACAGTCCACCCCTCATGCCCCCACAGGGGAACGAATATAATTGAATAGAATAAAACGGTGTGAGTTTCTTTTTTTTTTTTTTCAATCTTTGTTTTATTGAAGACATAGGAGCACAGTACATTAAGAAGAAATGGGGTTATATCAGTGAGAATACGCATTAAAATTGCAAGTTATATTAACAATGGTAGTTAACTATGTGGTATAAAACCCAACTCCCCCCCCCGGACTTTGGTATATTAACAATGATATAATCTCATGAAGATAAATGCCTCATTTTTATAAGGTATAGAGAACGAAAACAAAATCTGCTTAACATAATATGTTTTTTAAACATGTGGTGCGAGTCACTGGAAACAAAGCCTGCTGAACATAGTACGTTTGGGAACATGAGGTGATTGTCACAGGTTAAAGAAACATGTCTAGCTTGGCATTATGGCATATACTTGAATACGTTTTGACTGGCTAGACTGAGGATTATGAGAAATAAAAAGGTAAAATAATAAGCATATAAGGTTTATCAAAATAACATACTTAAGGGTATCGAGAGTATTGTGTTCGCTTAGATTTAAGATTTATAGGCTTGTATAGCCTCGGGCACCACCCCTCAGTTGATGGCTGCATGGTATAAAAGTCGTTCTCTCAAGATGGGTATGACGGTATATGTTTAGTGATTGGACGTTTCGGTCATATCTGGCATTTGTGAGTGTCGGTTGTGCATCTTATGTGTGTGCTTGGTGTAGGCCGCGTCATAGCGGCTAGCTTAAAGAGTGCATGTAGGCAAGCTATTCCTATCAAACATAAGCGTACAACATAATAGGCTAAATGAGCTATAACAATTGGACATGAAAATTAAGCAAATCAAGGATAACTGTGCTCGCTGTGAATTAAGCCTCATGGAAGAAAATATATGTTAGTTGGCATACTGTAAACGATGGGGTAAACCAGCACGTTATCACCAGTTATCTGGGCCGTAAAGTCCCGGATGAGCCTATTTCCCGGCTTAGTGGGAGGCTTAGGGGTAGTGTGACATCGAGGGGCAGAGTCAGATTAAGTCCGCCCCATAGCCCCAGGCTGTCGTGGAGGCCTGCATCTTTGGACCACGAACTTGGTTGCTCAGATGTGAGGCAGAGTTCTTACCTTGCAGGGGACAGCGTTTTTATCTCTGTGGGCGTTCGCCTCCTGCGGCATCGGTTCCTCTGCGTCGGATGCACTGGGAGTATATCCCTGTTGGTGTTCATTCCGGGCGGGCCCTTCGTGGAAGGCTGCCCTATTGTGGTGATAGGAGCACCCAGGGAGGGGTGCTCTTCTCCCACCTTTCTTCCCTCCATTTACTCTCTACAGCCGGAGCCTGTGGCTTCGCAAAGTGGGCCGTTAACTTGGTCCAGAGGCAGTCGAACGCTGCGGTGCTGTTCATTGTTTCAGCAGGAAGCTGAAACCGCACGGTTTGTAGCTTGTGGTAGTGCGGATATCGGTGTGCAGCTGTATGTAGAGGTGGTCGCCTGAGGGGACCAGGATAACCCCCACCGATCCAAAGGGTGGTGGGGGGCTATGCATTGGCCGGAGAACTGAGGGAGCGGCCGTCTCACTCCAGCTCAAGCTCTGGTCGGCCTCGGGCCTTGATCGGGTCACTGGGATGGGTCATGAAGGGTATCTCCGTGTGCATCATCGGCAGCTGAAGAGGTAGGTCACAGTTTCGGGTCAGTGTTGGCATGTGGCCTGCAGATGTCCCCGGATTTCGAATCCAGAAGAGGGAGCCCAGACGAAACACGGAAAGCAGTGCACTGGGGCCCTGCCTACACAACAACTCACAGGAAGAAAAATGTAAATTATCTATAAAATGAAGCTTATATTTATTGGTACCTTCAACAATTGCAATACATACACACACATAGACTGTTGAATATAGTCACAGACTGCTGAATACACGCACACACAGACTGCTGAATACAAACACTGACTGCAGAGTACACACACACACAGACTGCAGGACGCACACACCGACTACTGAGTATACACAGACAGACTACTGAGTACATACACACAATGCGCTGAATACACACACACACACACTCAAACACACACAGAGACTGCTGAATACACACACACAGGCGGCTGAACACACACAGACTGCTGAATAAACCCAGACTGCAGTGAGGGGTGCGATGTATGTGTTTGTGTGTAGGTGCAGTGTGTGTTTGTGAAGGGATTGTGTGTGTGTGTGTTGCTATGTGTAATGAGTGCTGTGTGTAGTGTGTGTGTGTGTGTGAGGGGTGCAGTGTGTGTGAGAGGGTACTGTGTGTGTGAGAGACATGGTGCTTTGTATAAGGGGTGCTGTGTGTGTGAGGTTGTGTGTAGTGTGTGTGAGAGGGTGCTGTGCATAAGGGGTGCTCTGTGTGTGTGTGTGAGAGGGTACTGTGGGTGGGTGTGTGGGTTGCAGAGAGTGAGGGGCACAGGGAGCAAATTTTCTTTGTTTTGTTTTTAAATCATTAAAAAAATATATAATAATTATTAAAATCTTTATGTCCCCCCCCCCTTCTTTTTACCCTTGTTGAAGGAGGGGGGAGGGAACACCTGTGGTGAGTTCTGTACAGCTTGCAGCTCCTGTCTTCCCACGCTTAGAATACTGTGTGGAGCACTTCCTCCTAGTTCCCTCCACCTGCCTCCAGGTCCTACTGCCCTCTCTCCTCTACTCCTCTAACAAAAGGGTCTTTGAGGGAGATCACTGATCTCTCCACCGGCCTAGAGGGCCCACGGGAAGAAAACAGGGCTGGTTCTCCATGCGCCGGAAGGGGAAATCAAAGGATCTCCCTGTCGGCCATGCACATGGGCATTGCGATGGGACGCCCATGCTTGTGGGGACCCCGGGCAACTGCCCAGGGGCCATGGGGAAAGACGGCCCTGGGTGGGAACATAAGCCAACCAGAGAGTTCTGATTGAACTTGCATAGCGGGGGAAAGCCCCGTTGGACTTACATGGTAGTATTTTGGGCTATTCTTGTGCAAAACGATGCCGATAATAAACAAGTTGGACATTAAACACTGGCAAAATGCCAGATCACAAACAGGTCAAAAAGGTAACATCTGGTCCATAAGCAGTTAAAGAAATCAAAATGGAGTCGCCCTCCTTGGAATGCAAACAAAAGCAAACGTGAATCTAGTCAAGATGAAAGCAGAATACGCAAAAATAGACCCAATAAGATGTCAGCAAACATATATGAATGGGTGTTTTTTAAGTTTAGTTTTGGTGAGGAATCAACTTTTAGGAAAGTTGTCTACATATACTGTACATGATGTTTACCTCAAATGCTTGGGTTTTCAGATTCATGTTAACATTTAGTTTCTTTCAATTGGTAAACTACAGGCATTAATATATGTTTCACACACCTGTGCAGATGTCTTCTTGTGTTTGTTCGCAATTTCCTTAATTTTGGGTTCGTCAAGAACGGATGGGTCTTCTGGTTTGGCCCTATATTTATGGAAATGCAAGAATAATGCATACTGCTCTTCTTGAGTTTATACAGTCAGTATATGTACAGCGATAATCTGTATAATATATCACTTGTAAACTCCATTCCACATGTCTTACCATGGGCGATCCGGTGATCCCAGTGGACTATACGCAGTTACAGCGATACCTTTGGATTGGCAATAATCAGTAAGTTTCTTTTGAGTCAAGTAGGGGTGGCATTCAATCTGATATTTAAAAAGGAGCAAACATATTTAAAGAGAGAATAAATAACAATTCCTACCATCAAAACTGACCCGCCGCCCCCACCCCCACAAAATTTAATTGTTGGCCATGATACCATGGTAAAATGAACAAAGCAAACAAAACATAATATAGTATGGCAAAACATTAATAAAAAAATATCCAGCAAAAGAATGCACTTTCTTGAATATGTAATGAATTTAAAGAGTTATCTAGAAACAAGATCTCCTATTTCAGAGTAGTATTCAATATGAATTAGTTCATAGATTCCCACCAAAATAACTTAATTGAAAGAAATGTTCTGAGTTACATGCTTGTCAGTTGCCTATGATACCATGGTAAAAGAAACCACAGTATAGTATTGCATAGCAAAGGTCTGCATTATTTAAAGGATCCAGCAAAAGAATGCATACATAATGAGTTAAATAGAAACAATATCTAATATTTCAACGTAGCATGCAATCTTGATAATTTTTCTTTAAACATCCCTGGGACAATTCCCTATCACAGTACTTGTTTAAACCGTGCTTACCTGGTTAACTGCCGGTTTGTATTTTAATCCAGGCTTGTTTAGCAGCTGCTCGATCTGCTCATGGTTAAAGTTGGAAATGCCAATTGCTTTTACTAATCCAGCATCCACCAGTTCCTCCATAGCCTGACAGCACAATAAGAGAAGGGAAGATCAGATATCATTATCATCTGGAGGTGATGGACAATTGTTTGCGGACTACTACTGGTAAAAGCCTTTTTAGATAGAGGCTAAAATTATAATGATCAGATCTAGCCCGTACATTGGTGGTCGGAGCTTGTGTGCCCCTATCACATAGTAATGCAGTGTGATTCGTGTGTGAATTTCAGTTTTGGTAGTGTGTCATTGCCATTCATTCTGACTTAGATACCTCCCATGTGTCTAGAAAGCAGGTGTTTGCTTGAATAGTCAGGCCTTCATCATCAGTAGGGAGCAATGAATCTCCATCCTGTAATAAATAAAGAGCACATTTTAAAAGGTCCAAGACTATCCTTTTTCTGTGCTTAAAAGGAACACTTCAAACACCATAACAACTACAGAATGATGTAGAAGTTAGGGTGCCAAGAGTGCCCTCTCACGCCCAATCGTATGCATCCGTGCTTTCTGCTAGTTCCAACCGAGACCCAGACGTTCTAGCTGAGCTAAACAGCAATGCAGTTAGTAGACCACTGGTAAGACTCCAAACAATTCTAAAATGATTTGACTTTCAATGGGGGGGCAGGGAAGTGGGGGGGTACAAGGTCTGCTGTGCTGGTTATGGTGTCAGAAGTGTTTATTTAAGGAAAATCTAATCTTCCCATGATTTACACTTCTGTTTTAATATGCAACACTGAAATTGTCTCTTACATATAACAGAGATCATAAGATCTAAGCATTCTCTTCCATTGATCAAGTTACTTTGGTTTTAGTTAGTTATGAAAAACACATATGGACTTTCAAGGCTCCTGTATGAAGCACAATACTGCCATGGTATAGTTCAGTTTATTAAATCACTGTTGCCCACACACCTTGAATCCTCCTGGAAAATGCATTAGATAAAGATCCAGGTAGTCCAGATTCAGATCAGACAAGGTTTTTTGGCAGGCCCCCTTCACCAGAGACTTCTTATGGAAAGTGCACCAGAGCTGTAAAATAAAGTTGGTAAAGAAAAGCAATTACTGTCCCACCAATAAATATAGAGGTTCTGTTTAGGTTTTAATAAATTAAAATACAAAATATGCATTGAAGAAACATAACCCCAACCCTCTAATAACCAAACCTATTGCTGTAAAGATACTTTTAAAAATATTACACGTTTGCAACTTTAACTTTTCACTGCTCATGATTGTATAAAATGCAGTATGTCTAAAAATGTACATAAAACAAAAGACAAATCACCCCAGTAGCCCAAAAAGGGACGATTTTTCTTTTTTTAAATTCATGTAAAAAAAAAAAAAAAGTAATTTCAAGGGAACTAAAGTCACCCAGACCACTTCAGCTCAATGAAGTGGTCTGGGTGCCAGGTCCCTCAGGTTTTAACCCTTCACATGTATACATAACAGTTTCAGAGAAACTGCTATGTTTACATAGGGTTAATCCAACCTCTAGTGGCTGTCTTCCTGAGCCGCTAGAGGCGCTTCTGCGACTCTGGATGCGAAATTCGCATCCAGCATGCAGAACGTCCATAGGAAAGCACTGAGAAATGTTTTCCTATGGACTGTTAGAATGCGCGCACAAAGGGAGCCCGGCACTGGATTAAGGTAAGCTGCTGAAGGGGTTTTAAGCCCTGCGCCACAGGAGGGGGATCCTGAGGGTGAGGGTCCCCCAAGGATGACAAAGTGTCATTTTTGTTTTCCTGACACTATAGTGATCCTTTAAAAACAATGTTGAGGTCAGTCTAGCAGGGTTCTAAACACATACCTTGCTAACAACAAACAGGTCTTCTCTCTTCACCACTCCTTCCTTAATCTTCGTTTGGATCCCCTCACCGACCTCCTTCTCATTCTGATATACGTAGGCACCATCCACATGTCTGTATCCCACATCAAGTGCTTTTTCCACAGCTGCCTTTACCTTACCTGGCTGAGACTGGAAGGGCCATAGTTTGGTTACTAGATGGCATTACAACTCACTATGCCAAGACATTTAGAAAACATATTATAAAGTATTTTTATATTAAATAGCTGTAGTCTAATTTTGTTGTACGTGTTCTGGAAAGTTGTATTTTCACAGGTCAGACACACAACCAAGCTGCAATCAGCTGGAAGTCAGGTGTACAAAACAAGTGTAAATATTGCAGAGCAAGATGACAAACAAGACTAGACAACTGTGCTGAACAGATGGGAAAAGGCTGGCCAAACCACAGGGTCCAGATATTTGTTTTTTTTATGGGAGACATTAGATCTTTATCAAGTCTGGCAAATTTCTGAGGACCTCAAATAGGGCAGATAGGACCTCAGATGTGGACCTTGCTGAAGAGGCACTTTACTCATGGTTGGGCATTACTACTCTAAGCAGTAAATGTAAAAGGAACCCTATAGCATTAGGAATACAAACTTGTATATCTGGCGCTATAGTGCCCTGATCCCTAATTAGATTTAGCCCCCATGCACATTAAAAATTGGTTTTCAAAAAGCATTTTACTTACCTTTTTTTCTTCGCCCAGACTCCCTCTGTGTTGCTGCTTGCTCTGCTTCCCACGACGTCATCGCGGCTTTGTTGCTTCCTCGGCAATCACCTAATCCAAAACTCATAAAAAATAAAAAAACTGGGGGAAATGCGTGTGTGCAGCAAACAAAACAAGAGCTAATTGAATGTTTCACTTGGCTGTCTGCAAGGTATGCTTAACCCTGCAAAGTAAACAGTGCAGTCTCTACCAAAAAAAAAAAAAAAAAGGCCCAGTGCACCCAGATCACTTCATTAAGATGAAGTGACTTGGTTGCATTTAATGATCTTTTAAATATGCAGTATTAGGCTGTGCCTCTTCTGGCAGGAGTCTGATATTGCTCTCCTAAAGCAGAGCAGTAAGGGCTTGTGAAGACTATGCACACCAACATGGGGTTGGAAATAACTTGGGGTAGGTAAGATGGGGAGCGAGGAGTGATGGTGGTAGAGTGTTATTGACATGGATAAGGAGATTGGAGGAAGTGACATAGATAGAAAGCAGGTGAGGTATACGGGAAGGGGGCAAGTAATATGCAGAATATAGTAACTAGGAAAGAATCCTTAGAAATAGTAGTGAGAACATCAATCTAACTAATGGCTCTCCTACAATTTTACAAAAAGTACATAGAAAAAGGGAGAAAAAAAAAACTGTTACTTTTAAGAATGTACTTTTGTGAACATATGTTTTCCAGTATTAAGCACTCCAAGTCAAAATTGAGGACAAAAATGACTGTCACCTGGAGCACTACCTCTGATTACCCACCAGAGAAATACCTACGAACATATAATTATTAGAAAAATAAGCAGTTAGTGTTCTAATTCATTGAATCTTTTATTTCTTTTATTGCCATTACATTGTATATGAGTTGTCTGTTGGCGGCCAGTCACAAGTTCCAAATCTTCATAGTGGCCCTCGAATTTCAAAGGGTTGAGCAAACCTTTAACTTAGAAAAACTGTATACTTTTATTGTTATTGTATTGTTCTTACAGTACTAGTATAAAACGTTATTATAAAATTAAGAAAGGGAGTATAGTTTGCAACTTTTGTCTCAAACTGGGCTGTTTAATTGTAGTTGCCCCCTCCAGCAAAATGTAACACATTCCCTGAAAGAAATAAAAAAATATAACATACACTTATTGACTTCAAAATATCATATATTTCTCATATAGAACAACCAGCTGTTATCCCAGATATGAACTAGTATATCCTTAAATATTGTGTTTCTCCGAATCTGCTAAAACAATCAGTTTAGGCAGAGAATTCCACGTTTCTTATAAATTTATTTTCCTCGGTCTATTCTATTAATGGTAATCCAGACATGAATTTTTTGCTCACTGTGACTAGCAGTGTTTCAGTTACACCTCACTGATGAAGACGACTGAAAGCTAAAAGGATTATTTGGGGTTGCTAGAGTTCTCCTGCATTATAAACCTGTAGACATTTTGGATCTGGATTGCCATTGTTGGGTGGGTTTAGTCTGATATGCAATTGGTGAAGGGTCTTTCAAGGGAGCTAAAATATGTAGAAGAACAAAGCTGGGTCTAACTCAAGGACAAGCTATTTGAGCACTATCCTTTTTAAAAAAAATTGTCCAGAAAGCATGCTACCGAAATTAAATTAAAAAAAATATTTATTTTTAAAACTAAATACACTTGTAGCAGAGCTCTCTGTACCCCGGCTAAGTACCTCCGCCAAGGACAGCTTCCTAGCTGGAACAGGGGAAAACCTCAGCTCTCTTCTGCCCCAGTAACCCTGGCTTGACTGTGGTCCCTCTGGAGCCTCTCCGTCCTGGACAAGCGCTATTACCTCCCAGGGACTGAACGACATTCAGTCCTGGGAGCTGTAGTCCTTACAAAGACTTTCCCTGCCGAATCCTCCACGAGCTGGAACAAGATGCTTAGCAGTCACTAGCCCTTCCCCTCACACTAACTAGATGACTCATAGTTCTGGGAGTACAACTTATTTTAATGAGCCAACTCAGCCTTTTGTGCACAGACACCAGCAGGGGGTCTCCATTGCATTCAGCACAAGCCTCTCCCTGAAATCTCTGGGCCTAGGAGATAATTGTGTTAAACACCGGTAAGCTAAGTATCTCCCAGGAACAGAAAAATATAAAAAAATAAAAGTACCCCAAAACATAAAGAAAACATAAAATAACCCCACAAATATGACATTTAAATAGCCCTGATCTGAGCACCAGAGTTCTCCAAATAACGCTCAGATCCATGCAGTGTAGGGGAAACGCCACTGTGTCAAAGTTCTGACCAGCCGCACATGTGGTCCTATGCCCAAAATAGTTCTATAGCGTTTTGTGCTTTTGCCGGTCAACTTTTGGGAGCTCCTGCAGCCGCAATACGGGGTGCTGCACCTGGATCTTAGGTAGCATTTGTTCCCCTTAGTCTCATGCACCTTACCTCTAAAAAGCGCTCTTCGGGAGGATTTAAAAGTGGTTCAAAACTGCAAACCAAGTTGCCTGGGAACCACACTGTCACCTCATACCAAAAACCATTCCATAACATTTGCGGCTAAGCTTCGTTGAGGTCAATGGGAACTCACAAAGTCCTCACGCAGAAATTAGTTCCATAACGGTCGCGGCTAAGGAACACTGAAGGGAAAGTAACAAATGAAGGGAAAGTGCCGAACCGGGTGCACCGAGGGAAAGCTGCTAATGGAAGCTGGGCAGGGTAACTCCCAAATGGTGTCCAAGACCTGGATCATAGTTGGTGGGCAGGAGGCCAGCTTCCACACTCCTCCAGGAGTGCATGGCAAACATATATGGGAAGGAGCGTTTGTCACAACACTTTGCAGCCTTTCCTAATAACTAAAATCTGTGCAAATGTGAGCTTCACAATGATTTCCTCATTAATTTGGGGATCTTACTATTGATTTATAAAGAGATAAATATTTTTATTCTATTAAATCAATATTCCTTTTTTGTATGACACCACCTTACTGGCCCTCGCTACACTACACTAACCCTTTTATCTTACCTTAATTTTTAGTGTCCACTTCTTCAGGTTAGTTCACTCAAACCATACTAAAACCTCTATTCTGCCATTTTCTCCCTCCTATGAATCTAAGTAATTCAATCAATGCATTTATTGTACAAGTTCATGGCCAGTGCTCCTATCAGTTTCTATTTTTGTCATGGACTTTACATAACCTATACAATTGAATAAAACAAAATAAGCACACATTGAAACTTTCAATAGTGAAATACTGTTTTATTCTGTGTCAACCAATCCTGTGCTGCTCCAAGTTGTCCTGATAAAAAAAAATGAATACAGGGGACATGTGGAACATGTATTTTTCAGCAGTTGTGCTGCCGTAGAGACCAAAATTAATACAAAACACAGATTAAGCAGCAGCGCGCACACATTTTTTTTCCCCAATTTTACAAAGCTACTTAATATCAGCTATCACAGCAAATAAGGGGATTCCGTTCCACAAAATTACGATATTGTGTTAAGTCCACCACCACTACAGAGTACACAAATATCAGTGGGTCCTACACCAATTCCAACGGGGGAGAGGCTAAGTGAAATAAAAGTGTATTTTAATAATCTGTTGTAAGAGTATTGTGAATATATATATGCAATGCATACTTAATGTGATAAACACAATTTTGAAAAAAAAAACACTCTCAAAACTAAACAATTAAAAGGGATAGTGCTTTGATGTATATACTTACAATCATATCATATATCTGCTCTTTGTGAAATAAAAATAATTAAAGTGACATTACTATCCCAAACCAACTCAATTTTAAATTTTCCAGTGGTATTTCAATGGGCATCTGAAGCACAGGGTGGGGTAGGTTGCTTAACCGAAAATAAATCTGGTCTGGACTCCAAACATACAGGTGATACTCAAAAAATTTGAATATCGTGCAAAAGTAAATTTATTTCAGTAATACAACGTAAAAGGGGAAAATATATGAGACAGACGCATTATTATGATTATTATTATTTATAAAGCGCCAACAAATTCCGTAGCGCTGTACAATGGGTGGACTAACCGACACATAATTGAGATCAGACCACTGGACGTACAGGAACAGAGGGGGTTGAGGGCCCTGCTCGATGAGCTTACATGCTAGAGGGAATGGGGTATAGTGACACAAAGGGTTAAAGTAGGGGAACAACAGTTTGTTAGAGAAGGGTTTATGGAGTGCTTGGTAGGTCATTTTTGACAGTTGCAGGAAAGGAGTCATGGGGTGGGGGATGAGAAACCTGCTGACAGTTTAATTGATACGCTTTAATGAAGAAGTGAGTTTTCAAAGATTTTTTAAAGGAGTGGAGGCTGGGTGAAAGTCTGATTGAGGAGGGAAGGGAGTTCCACAGAATAGGTGCAGCCCTGGAGAAGTCTTGAAGGTCAACATCAGAGGTGGGGATCCGGGCAAAGGATAGACGTAGGTCTTGAGCTGAGCGGAGGGGGTCTCGACGGGACATACTTGTGTATGAGGGAGGATAGGTATGTTAGAGCAGCATTATGTATGGATTTGTAAGCAAGTGCCAGAATTTTGAATTGGGCCCTATAGCTAACTGGAAGCCAATGCAGGGACTGACTGAGCGTGGAGGCGTGACCGGACAGGAAAATAAGGACAGAAAAAAAAAAGAAAAAAAAAAGTTAACTGTACGTGTTATCTAATAAAGAAGTACCCAAGGTTTTAAAGTGTACCCTTACAAACACTTAAAAAACACAATAGTGAAAAAAAGAAAAAACCAAAAGGTACAAAGCAGTATAAATCACCAAAAGTGACACAGAATAATAAATATATACCAACTGGGTATGTGGAAATATTCTGTTGTGGAATATATAAAATTAGATGAAATCAGGCGTATCTCCCAAAATAGGGAACTGTAGCAATCTGGAAGACCTCCAGCGATGATCTTATAGTAGATTTTTTCATTCACTCCAAGTAAAAAGAAAATAGATAGTGTAGATGGTACAAAATATAACAATTTATTATAAATAAGTTGCACTTACAATGTTGCAAGTTAAAACCAGCGTGTCTCCACTCCAGGTGGTGTTCACATGCAATAACTGATCCAATGGCAGCCCAGGATATAGGACAGCAGCAAAGAATGGAGAGTACAAATGAACAATAAAATAAATGAATAAAAAGTAGAATAAAAAGTTCCAACGCGTTTCGTCCGTCTAGGGACTTCCTCAGGGATATGTGATGCTGATAGGAAGAAGAATAATTGAAAAAGAAAATAGTGGCTATAGAGCTGGAGACAATCCAGTCCTAGAGCCAAAAGAGGACTATAGTGGGCAAAAAGAGAGGGCCTAACCCAACAGAGAATTATAGTAGAAGAAATCCCAAAAGCTTAGGGTGTGTGGAGAGAAAAACACAAGTCTATCTGCCACAACACCCACGGCTAAGGGTATGCCCACATTGGGGGTATAGTGTCCCCTGGTGTGTATCAATCAAAAAGATCAAAAAAGTCATAAGATAAAATAAAATAAAAAATACTTTATTGAAAAACGTATAGAGACTATAAAAAATCACAGGGAGTCCAGGGTAGGGGGATGGCCAGTGGTGTGTGAGGCTATAGTAGCACAATAGAAGGCAGCAAGGCAGATACAATAAAGGGTTGTTATATGGCATTAAATATGAAATAAAGGATATCTAGGAGTTTATGTGCTCCAAGTTGCATATCCTAGTAAAATGTATTGGTATAACGTGTTTCAGAAAGGTCCTTAGTTAGAGTGTCTGCACCGGATGTAGTCAAACTGCTATTATGGGAGTACCACACAATGAGATGAATCAAGTGTGGTTCCCTGAAGTTTGTGGTCTGCTGGGTATAAGTACCTGTAAATATATTAGTACTCTTTTTTTGGAAGGTACATGTAGAACACTTTCCACATCGAAAAAAACCTTTCAGTATTTGATTAGAAAAAATATGTGTATGTTGAGCAGGGATAATTTTTTGAGTCGGTAAAATACTTGGAGCTAATTTATTCTTTAGATTATCTGCCTTTCTGAAAATTATAATAGGTTTTTTTGGTAGAATATTATTTAAAAAAGTATCTATCTTTCTTTAATATATGCCAGTGACGATTGATTATACTTTGAATTTCTCGAGCTTGAGAATGGTATTTTGTTACAAAAGCAAAATCAAACTTATTTCCATTTTTCTTTTTGTTTTTGTTATCTTTTAAAGTAAGTAGTTTGCTACGATCTATATTAACTAAAGATGTTTCAGCTTCTTCAATCATTTTTAAATCATATCCCTTCTCGATATATCTTTGTTTTATAACTTTAGATTGAGTTTTAAAAGTATCTACATCTGAACAATTACGTCTCAAACGGGTTAGTTGTCCTTTAGGGACATTTCTTAACCAAGAAGGATGATGTGAGCTAGAATGCTCTATGGCCGTATTACAGTCAGTACTTTTAAAGAAAGTTTTTGTTTTCAGAATATTATTCTCTATATAAATGGTTAAGTCCAAAAAATCTATTTGATTAGTATGACAAGTAGAGGTGAAACTTAAATTATATTCATTATTATTTATATATAAAATAAAATTGTCCAAGCTTGTTTGATCGCCTTCCCATATAATGAGCACGTCATCTATGTAGCGTCGCCACAGAACGAGGCTCCCCCCCAGCGTCTGACCCAAAGAAATACATCTAGATTCCCAATGGGAGACATATAAATTGGTGAAGCTGGGGGCGAACCTCGTCCCCATGGCGACACCACATAGCTGCAAAAAATACTGATCGTTGAACCAAAATTTTTTTTTTGATAAAACGAAAAACATACAATCAATCAGAAAATCAATCTGTTTTTTTCGCAATAGAGGAATGTTGTTGCAACCAATCCCCTATTGCCCATAAACCTTTCTGATGGGGGATATTAGTATAAAGGGAAACTACATCTACTGAAGCTAGAATGTAGTTTGATTTCCATTTTATTGATTGTAAATTATTTAGAAGATGTTTAGAATCTTTGATATATGAAGGTATCTTGGTCACATATGGTTGTAAAAAGAAATCTATGTAAGCCGAAAGATTACAGGAAAGTGAATCAATGCCACTTATAATGGGGCGACCTGGTGGTTGTGAAATAGATTTGTGTATCTTGGGTAAAAAATAAAAACAAGCAATTTTACAGTGTGGATTGTACAAAAAATTATATTCATCTTTGGTGATTATGTTATTTTCCAATCCAATATTTAACAAAGTGTCTAATTCTTTGAGCAAGGATTCCGTAGGATCTTTGTCCAAATATTTATAAGTATTCCCATCATTTAAAATTCTATAAGCTCTTGGTTCAACGATCAGTATTTTTTGCAGCTATGTGGTGTCGCCATGGGGACGAGGTTCGCCCCCAGCTTCGCCAATTTATATGTCTCCCATTGGGAATCTAGATGTATTTCTTTGGGTCAGACGCTGGGGGGGAGCCTCGTTCTGTGGCGACGCTACATAGATGACGTGCTCATTATATGGGAAGGCGATCAAACAAGCTTGGACAATTTTATTTTATATATAAATAATAATGAATATAATTTAAGTTTCACCTCTACTTGTCATACTAATCAAATAGATTTTTTGGACTTAACCATTTATATAGAGAATAATATTCTGAAAACAAAAACTTTCTTTAAAAGTACTGACTGTAATACGGCCATAGAGCATTCTAGCTCACATCATCCTTCTTGGTTAAGAAATGTCCCTAAAGGACAACTAACCCGTTTGAGACGTAATTGTTCAGATGTAGATACTTTTAAAACTCAATCTAAAGTTATAAAACAAAGATATATCGAGAAGGGACACGATTTAAAAATGATTGAAGAAGCTGAAACATCTTTAGTTAATATAGATCGTAGCAAACTACTTATTTTAAAAGATAACAAAAACAAAAAGAAAAATGGAAATAAGTTTGATTTTGCTTTTGTAACAAAATACCATTCTCAAGCTCGAGAAATTCAAAGTATAATCAATCGTCACTGGCATATATTAAAGAAAGATAGATACTTTTTTAAATAATATTCTACCAAAAAAACCTATTATAATTTTCAGAAAGGCAGATAATCTAAAGAATAAATTAGCTCCAAGTATTTTACCGACTCAAAAAATTATCCCTGCTCAACATACACATATTTTTTCTAATCAAATACTGAAAGGTTTTTTTCGATGTGGAAAGTGTTCTACATGTACCTTCCAAAAAAAGAGTACTAATATATTTACAGGTACTTATACCCAGCAGACCTATCAAATTAAAAAATTTATCCAATGCTCCACCACGCATGTGGTTTATCTACTCCAATGTGGTTGTGGAGCACAATATATTGGCCGTACCATTCGAAAATTACACGTCAGATTATTGGAACACTTTCAAAATATAAAAAATAAAAAACTAGAACACAGTGTATCCAAACATTGTGCCCATTGTCCACTTTTCCAGTGGAATAGTTTTATAGCAATTGGGATAGACAAAATAGATAAACATTGGAGAGGCGGAAATATAGAAATTTTATTAAATACAAAAGAAGCACAGTGGATTTTTAATTTAAAAACCTTAAAATTTGGTCTAAATCAAGAAATAGATCTAGCTGGATTGATTTAATATATTTTTGTTTATTTTCACATTTATGCCCACTTTTATTCATTTATATATTTTTTTTATTTTTTTTTATTTTTATTTTCATTTTTATTTATTTATTTTTTTATTTTTTATTTTATTTTTATATTTTTTATTTTATTTTTATTTTCATTTTATTTTCAGATTTATTTTTATTCATTTTTTTATATATATTTTTATATTTTTAGATTTATTATTATTTTTTCTGATTGGTCCATATTTGATTACTAATATTTGTTTTCTATTCTAGAAATTTTTCTTCATAAAAAGAATTTTTCTTACATAATTTTCTCAACATATAAAGTTTAATAATATACACAATATGTTTGTTACTGATACTCTTTATATAAAGGGATGTTTTTGTAAAGAGATGGATAATAGAAACAAATGGATTTGACAGTTTTTTATTTTTTTTATATCATTGTATATCTTTTATATTACTATATTATTCCAAACAATAAGTTTTCTCCATTTTACCGTTAATAATATTGTATCTTGAAAATTTAAATTTATATGAATTACATTGTGAGAATATAAGAATACAAATTTCTCAACACTTATATTGTATATTATTAAGAACATCTCCATTGTTAATATTTTTCATCTCTATGTTGATTATTGTACCACATTATATGTCTAATTCTTTATACAACTCCAGTTCTTTTTCTGGACTGTTGGGGAATTAATATATTAGTGAGGAGAGTGTTTGTTTTTTTTCAGCTGTTACTGATAGTGCCAGCTCAAGAATTGTGGTTTTACATCGGATCCGTGAAACCGGAAGTGACGTCATGCGGAAGCAGAATGCGTTCCACAGTGGAACGCACGCCGACACCGGCGAAGGATTTACTAATTTATGGTGGATATAAAAGACGATTCTTCTTCCTATCAGCATCACATATCCCTGAGGAAGTCCCTAGACAGACGAAACGCGTTGGAACTTTTTATTCTACTTTTTATTCATTTATTTTATTGTTCATTTGTACTCTCCATTCTTTGCTGCTGTCTAATATCCTGGGCTGCCATTGGATCAGTTATTGCATGTGAACACCACCTGGAGTGGAGACACGCTGGTTTTAACTTGCAACATTGTAAGTGCTACTTATTTATAATAAATTGTTATATTTTGTACCATCTACACTATCTATTTTCTTTTTACTTGGAGTGAATGAAAAAATCTACTATAAGATCATCGCTGGAGGTCCTCCAGATTGCTACAGTTCCCTATTTTGGGAGATACGCCTGATTTCATCTAATTTTATATATTCCACAACAGAATATTTCCACATACCCAGTTGGTATATATTTATTATTCTGTGTCACTTTTGGTGATTTATACTGCTTTGGACAGGAAAATAAGCCTTGCAGCTGCATTCATTATAGATTGCAGCGGTGCAAGCTGGGAACATGTAAGACCGGTGAGAAGGGGATTGCAATAGTCAAGGCGAGAGAGAACAACAGCATGAACCAGTACCTTAGCCGCGTCCGGCGTTAGATATGGGCAGATGTGCGCTATGTTCTTGAGTTGGAAGCGACAGGATTTGGTTATCGATTGGACATGGGGAGTAAGAGAGATCAGAATCAAAAAGAACTCCTAGGCAGCGAGCCTGTGAGGTAGAGGTGATAGTTGCGCATTGACTTGGATGGAGACAGACTGTAATAAAATGCTCATATTGGTAATGAGAAAATGAGGATAACAAAAAATAATTAAAATAGGTATAGATAGGTGAGACCGTTATTCCTGAGTGGGATATATAACCTAAAAATACCACTTAAGAAAAGCTAATATAATCTTGAAAGGAAAAAGGATCCCACTACAGTGCTCATCCTGCTACAAAGTACTGGTAACTTGTAATAATGTTGCCATCTAGGATAATGATGAGTGACTAATGACCCTCCCAACAAAAAACCCCCAGCAATTGCTTAGAAAATCTTGTGGGGTAGAAAGTAGCAAGATAATGCTACATATCAGGGAGAGAAATATACACTCACAAATAACATAAGAGTCTGTTACTAGATTACTCAGCAAGTTCGGAGTCAGAGATGAAATGATACAATGTAGGTTGTGCCTCTGCGGCTGTCAATAACGAAACCTCACTACGAGGTGGGGAGATCAAAAATAAAGTCTCCCCCAAACAAATGAAAAATGCCCCTGCTAGTCCACAACCCCCAGTATAACAAAACTCTAACCGGTCGTAAAAGCAGTAATTGCTGACTAACTGAATAGCTAAAGCTGCAACGGCTGAGCACGATCACCTATCCAACCTAGCTACCTAACACGTGTTTCGGCGCTGCTAAACTCGCCTTCTTCTGAGGCTATACAGGCGTCCTCAGACAACAGTGACCCCTTTATAGCTCCACTGTACCAATAAGTAAAGGGGGAGTGCGTTGTAAGTTCGCGCCAAAAAAACGGGACCCGATCTCACCACGCCTCCCAATGACGTATCGTCATACAATTGGTTGACACCTTCCTATGTGTGAGAGCATTTTTAACTATATGAGTACCGTTTTATTATAGCTACAAAAAGACATATCACTAATGCAGATAAGTAGATACCGTATATACTCGAGTATAAGCCGACCCGAATATAAGCCGAGGCCCCTAATTTTACCACAAAAAACTGGGAAAACTTATTGACTCGAGTATAAGCCTAGGGTGGGAAATGCAGCAGCTACTTGTAAATTTCTAAATTAAATTAGATCCAATAAAATTACATTAACTGAATATTTATTTACAGTGTGTGTGTTTATGTGTGTATATATAATGAATGCAGTGTGTTTGTGTATATAATGCAGTATGTGTTTGTGCAGTGTGTGTAAACTGCGTGAGGGGAGGGCATTTTTATTTTAATTGTATTATTTTAATATTATATTATTTTAATAATATTATTTTAATATTTGCATTACTGTCCCCCCTCCCTGCTTGTTGCTTGGTCAGGGAGGGGGGGACAAAAAAACATTTTTTTTAAAAAATAATGCAAATATTAAAATAATAAAATAAATATTAAAATAATATTTATTATATTATTTTAATATTTGCATTATTTTTTAAAAAAAATTTTTGTCCCCCCTCCCTGGCCAGGCAACAGGCAGGGAGGGGTGACAAAAAAAACATTTAAAAAAAAAAATAATGCAAATATTAAAATAAAATATTTTAATATTTTATTATTACTAAAATAAAATATTAAATCCCTGGTGGTCCAATGGCATTGGCAGTTCAGTGGGGGGGCTGACCGGGAGTTCTTACTTACCTTCCTGCAGCTCCTGTCAGCTCCCTCCTCCTCCGTGCAGCTCCTCGGTCAGCTCCGTTCTGTTTACAGTGTAAGTCTCGCGAGACACTGTGAGCAGAACGGAGCTGACCGAGGAGCTGCACGGAGGATGAGGGAGCTGACAGGAGCTGCAGGAAGGTAAGTAAGAGCTCCCTGTCAGCCCCCAACAGGACCGCCGGGCTTGTAATGAGCCCGGCGGTCCTGGTCTGTATTATGGCAATGTAAATTGCCACAATACAGACTGACTCTAGTATAAGCCGAGTTGGGGTTTTTCAGCACATAAAAAAAATTGCCAAAAAACGCGGCTTATACTCGAGTATATACGGTAAGTGTAGAACCACAAGTATGTGTTGTTGCATATAAATAGTCTCATCAGTATTAAAAAAGGATGGACATCTTAATATGATATAAATCGTCTTGGCATAAATATCCATGTCTAGAGCTAATCTCTGGAATAGAGGTCATACAAAACAAAGTCAAATGCAGGAATTAGCAGACATTCATATAATGAACTTGCATCAATGTGCATATAATATTCCTGTTCGGTTGGTATACTGTACCCTGGTAATGACTATGCCTCTCAATGGTCTGGGATATGATTGATTACAGTGAATAGCACCGCTAATGCCATATTGGGGTCGAAAAAAGGAGCTGGTTAACCCTTTCAGATTATCCAATAAAGCTCTTCAAGCCTATTAACTTATCTTATACCCAGGCACAAAAATCCGAGAATGCAACGAATGTAGTTACATATATATTTTATTAATCGTGAAAAATTACTCATATAGAATAGGTTTATATTGTGTCAACTGCCAAGAAGGTATAAACCACTGATGTACCACAAATAAAATAAAAAGTAATGAAGAAAAGAAAATTATTTACAGTATTTATAAATATATATATATATATATATATTAAGTCCCCGTGATGATGATTCCTTATATGTCTCGCCACTGGGGTGTCCCTAAAGTTTCTAACGGAGTGTATATGTTCCATAACTCCTTTTCAGGGGGCGGATGGTTTTACCCACATATACAAGTCAAGAGATAAATCAACCCTTTAGTGTTGCAGTTAAAAAATTGTTTAACATTACACACATTTAGGTCACTTGAATCTGTAAGGTGCTTAGAATCTTTCTTCATGTACCTACAAGCCACACATTTTCCACATTTATACGTGCCTTGTACAGAAAGCCAACTGTGTCCACTCTTTTTGGAGGAAAAGTGGCTAGGTACTAAGATTTCTGCCCCTCCGTGCTGTAAGGGATACATAGGGGGCCACTGCTCCTTTGAGCTGGGGATCTTGGGATATCTACTAAGCGGCTGCAAGATGCAGCCACAGCAAGAATAGGATCGGAGTTTCATTCATTCGAATGAAATTGTGATCCGAAAAAAGTGCCAAATTGCGTTCTAAAAGAAACAAACATACTGTTCTCATTCAGTTAGAACGCAATTCGGCAGTTTTGTGTAAAGTGACAGGAAGCATCGTGGGAACGGTGAGAATTATGGGAAAATTGCTCTGACCAGCGGAAATGAAGCACACCTTGCTCCTCCGCTGGTCAGAGCTGGTCAAGCGGTGGAATCCTCCATAAGGCAAAGAGTCCCTACTTTGTCTTATGATTTTAAAGAAAACTAAAGAAGACAGGAAGAAAAGAAGAACAGATCATGAGAGAGGGGGAGAAGAGGAAGAGATTGAGGAAAGGTAAGTTTGGCATGACAGTGCCGCTTTAAGTCCCCAAGTATGAGAGAGGGAGTGCTAGAGGAAAGAAAGTGGGGTAACCAGGAGGAACATTGTTCAATAAATAGTTTAGGGTGACCGGGGGGGGGGAGGGCTATAAAGATAATGAGGGGGGGACACCTACTTTCCTCCTCCCACCCCCCCGCCGGCCGCCACCCCTGGGCGGCGGGTGGAGGCCCTAAGTCAATTTCCCCGCCCCTAGTCACCCACCCAAATAAAATAACTAACCTGTAAAGTAAAATTAAACTTACCATTCAACGTCATCTTTTTTCTCAAATCTTCATTTTTCAGCCCCAGAAAAGGCCAAATAAAAAACCATCATAACCGTCAAACTTAAAATCAAATAAAAATCCCGAGCGCAAAAAAAAAAAAACCCTGACGAAACAGAAAAAACCCAAGGGGGGCGGGGATAGATGATGGCAATTCTTAAAGGTGTGGGCATAATAAGGTGTACAGTATGAACTTCAAAGGAAGTAAAGGATAGGGCAGGGGCAGGGAGGATAGGTTGAAAGGTACATTGAGGGGAGAGAAGGATGCCGAAACCACCTCCTTTACAGTCAAGTCTAGGAGTATGGGAGAACTGTAGACCACCGAAGCATAGAGTTAGAGATGATGAGGTCATGTATAGCTGTAGATTTGATATTACTACAAATGGAGCGAGCGTTCCAGAGTGCACACTGAATTTTGGTAGAAGAGGATAAAATGCAGGGTATTTGGAGGAGGTTTGCATGGTTTCTGGTTATTTTAGTGTGAGCAGATGAGGTGAGGGGCCCTGGGTTGGGAAAGACGTCACCAGCTGCCAGAAGTAGGAGAAGAGATAGTGACAGGAGGTGTGAGTGCAGGGCTTGAGATGAGAGAAGAGGGGAGTGTAGCAAAGAAGGATTAATGTAAATGTGAGTGTGTTGTTGAGGGAAGTGGGTGGAAGGGGATATTTTGATCCTGAGTGAGATGAGAGAGAAGGAGAGGAGTAGAATATAGAGCATTGCTCTGATGGGTAGGTAATTAGAGGAAAGGAGAATGAGCAGAAGTAAGAAGAAGGACTGAGTGTTAGGGGTTAAGAAGGTGGATTGTGCTCATTACTGGTAGTGTTGGCAGCTGCTTTTTGGAATCTTAAGTTGTGTGAGGGATTTTATCTATAAATATAGTAAGGAACCTGGGGTGGGGTGGAGAGGGGAGGGGTGGGCGGGAATCTGAGCACTGTTTAGGTTTGCTAGAAGTGGTCTTTTAAAAAATTCAGACTGTGGAAGACAGATGATAGGTCAAAACAGGACTGCAATAAAAGCTATGGAATGGAGATGCACAGAGGAGGTGAGGATTGGTCAAGCAAGACATTCGGGTGGGTATCAATAAAATAAGGGGGTGGGGGGAGCAGAAATAACAGAGAAAGTCTTTAGAGATAAGCAGAATGTTGAATAACATTTAAGTTAAACCAGTGATGAGCAGGACAGGGAGCAACTAGCTTTAGCATGCAGGACAAGACAAACTGCACAATATATGTATGTATGAGCAGACACGCATACACACACACACACATATATACATACATACACACACACACACACACACATTAAAAGATACAATGACAAAGAAATGGTGGTTAGAGATACATAGTTTCAAAACATGCAAGTGGTTAAAATTCTATACAATTATAGTGTCCAGTATTAAGGGTAGATAGTGTCCTCCATAGTCTACCTTGCAGAAACTCAGACATGCATAAGGCCTTTTCCTTCCAGCTGTAGGTGATCTGAGCACTGTTGAGGTTTGCTAGAAGTGGTCTTTTAAAACTCAGACTTGCAAAGCAAGATAGTTCAAGCCATGATTTGTCATAAGTGCGATGATTATGGCTCACAGCTCATGAAAAACCCAAATCCACAATCTCAGTAAATTAGAATATTGTGAAAAGGTGCAATATTCTAGGCTCACAGTGTCCGACTCTAATCAGCTAAGTAAGCCGTAACACCTGCAAAGGGTTTCTGAGCCTTTAAATGGTCTCTCAGTCTGGTTCAGTAGGAATCATAATCATGGGGAAGACCTGACAGTTGTGCAGAAAACCATCATTGACACCCTCCATAATGAGGGAAGGCCTCAAAAAAAAGTGTAATTGCGAAGGAAGTTGGATGTTCCCAAAGTGCTGTATCAAAGCACATTAATAGAAAGTTAAGTGGAAGGGAAGAGTATGGAAGAAAAAGGTGTACAAGCAGCAGGGATGACTGCAGTCTGGAGATGATTGTCCGGAAAAGGCTGTTCAAAAGTGTTGGACTTTCACAAGGAGTGGACTGAGGCTGGAGTCAGTGCTTCAAGAGCCACCACACACAGACGGATCCTGGACATGGGCTTCAGATGTCGTATGCCTCTTGTCAAGCCACTCCTGAACAACAAACAACATCAGAAGCATCAGGCCTGGTCTGTTGTTCAGTGGTCCAAAGTCCTCTTTTCTGATGAGAGCAACTTTTGCATCTCATTTGTAAACCAAAGGACCCACAGTCTGGAGGAAGAATGGAGAGGCACACACTGCAAGATGCTTGAAGTTCAGTGTGAAGTTTCCACAGTATGTATTGATTTGGGGAGCCATGTCATCTGCTGGTGTTGGTCCACTGTGCTTCATTAAGTCCAGGGTCAACGCAGCCATCTACCAGGAGATTTTGGAGCACTTCATGCTTCCTTCCACAGACGAGCTTTATGTGGATGCTGACTTCATTTTCCAGCAGGACTTGGCACCTGCCCACACTGCCAAAAGCACCAAAGCCTGGTTCAATGACCGTAGGATTACTGTGCTTGATTAGCCAGCAAACTCGCCTGACCTGAGAGAGAGATGAGAGACATGAGACCGAACAATGCAGAAGAGCTGAAGGACACTACTGAGGCATCCTGGTCTTTCATAACACCTCAGCAGTGCAAAAGGCTAATAGCTTCCATGCCACGCCATATTGAGGCAATAATTGCTGCAAAAAGGGGCCCAAACCAAAGTACTGAGTCCATATGCATGCTTTTACTTTTCAGAGGTCCGATATTGTTCTATGTACAATCCTTGTTTTATTGATTGCATGTAATATTCTAATTTACTGAGATTGTGGATTTGGGGTTTTCATGAGCTGTAAATCATAATCATCGCACTTATGACAAATCACGGCTTGAACTATCTTGCTTTGCGTGTAATGCGTCTATCTCATATATTAGTTCTCCTTTTTATGTTGCATTACTGAACTGCATGAATTTTTGCATGATATTCTAATTTTTTGAGTATCACCTGTACATAGAAAAATAAAATTAAAAAAAATTAAAAAAAAAAGGAATTGGGGGTTGTCCTGAGGAGAGAGTGGTCTTGATGAAATAAAATGCATATCATAAAGCGCATAGACACAGGGGGCTGTGCAAGAGGCTAATGTGGACATACTGTGCGGAATACCAGTGGACTGCAGGGGCCAGAATAGCCTTGGTGTGGACATACTGTGCGGAATACCAGTGGACTGCAGGGGCCAGAATAGCCTTGGTGTGGTGGGCAGACGCCTTGGAGCATTATAGGATTGATTGCTTTTTTATCTTTTGCAAGTGTATTTTAAACTTGCATTTATCATGTAATATTTCAGTATTTCACTATTAAAGATATTGGAGATATTTTTAGTACAGGTGGTCGGTACAATCTGCAAGAGAGTTGCAAACAAGGATTCCTTTTATGCATATAGTGGTCTTTGACCACTGTGATTGAAATAATGCAGAAATGTATAGGATTTATCCAATGGCAGGCAGGAAACTAGGAGTTGGATACCAAGAGCTGTGTTTGTCAAACAACTTAAATGATTTGACATAAGACAGGGGAAAAGCACCTAAATAATATTTGTACCATTTCTATTGCAATTAGTTGTAGTGGTTACAGCTTTAATTATATGTGGTACAGGCAGAAACGCAGAACAGGTGTGTCTTTTTTACGGTCAAAGTACATCTATTTCTGTTCTAACCCTAACACAATCATAGATATGAATATTTCAGTAAAGTAGCTTGTAACAATTATAAATAACCTATTTGTAAATGAACAAAGGACAAGGTTACATGTTTTATAAATGATTATTTTAAACAAACAAAAAAGAAATGTGTATGATAAAACCTATATATGTTAAGATACACTTATCTCACCCTCAGCACACACCAACACCACCTACAGTTGATAAGTTGGGCTTCGTGACTGTAGCTAATCGGACCCTGTTCCTGACACACACACACACACACTTTAAAATTATCAACGGTCCTATGTCAAGATTTATTCAAGATCATTAGGACATTTTTTTTTAAAGTATCACTATAGGGTCAGAAACACAAACATGTATTCCTGACCCTATAGTGTTAACACCACCATCTAGTCCCCTGGGCCCCTCATACCTCCATAAATATAGCAATATCTTACTTTATTCAAGCCTGAAGCTGTAGATCTGCATGCTGTTTGCCTCAAAAAACAAAAAAAACAAAAAAAACAGTCTGCTGACATCATCAGAAGTGGTAGCCTGATCCAATCACAATGCTTCCCCATAGGCTTGGCTAAGACTGACAAGGAGGCAGATCAGGGATAGAGCCAGCATGATTCAAACACACCCCTTGCCAATCAGCATCTCCTCATAGAGATGAATTGAGTCAATGAATCTCTGAAGAAAGTTCAGTGTCTGCATGCAGAGGGAGGAGACACTGAATGTTTGGATGCATTTTAGGCAGCCATGACCCAGGAAGGATCTCTTAGAGCCATCTGAGGAGTGGCTAGTGAAGTTATCACTAGGCTGTAATGTAATCACTGCATATTTTCTGAAAAGACAGTGTTTACAGCAAAAAGCCTGAAGGGAATGATTCTATTCACCAGAACAAATTCAATAAGTTGTAGTTGTTCTGGTGACTATAGTGTTTTCACTGTGATCGGTATTTACCATGTGTCAGACGATTTTGATGGACCCGGCCGCATTCTCCTGCAGCAGATTGCAGTTGGGGGACATGCCTTGCCCCCCAGGCAGTCCCCCTGCAGTCAGTGACCGCGATCTGCTCAGCCTTATCGCAGTAAGAGACAGCCTGTCACTGTGATCAGAGTTACTGACACATGTAACTACAGGCAAGATCCCCCCTCATTTGATTGGCATTCAAATTAGTTTTTTGCATTTTTCCACACACAAATATTAACATTAACTTTGGCTAGTATTTGTGACCAAGTGGCTACTAAAAAAGACTGGACATACCCCATTTGCAATACCTTGGGTTGTCTACTACTGCAAATGGTATGCCATTCATGGGGGTAATTCTCATTCCTGGGCTACCATACAGTCTCAAAGGCAACGTAACCAATCTGGCAAATTTCAATGTGAAAAAACTGAAAAGTGTAATATGCTAGATTTGACCCTCTAACTTTCCAAAACCATAAAACCTGTACATAAGGGGTACTGTTTTACACATGAGACATCGCTGAATACAAATATGTATTTAATTGCAGTAAAAGCAAATAGTATATTGACAAATGTCACGTAGAACTAAGAAAATTTAAAAACAAAATCTTATTTTCTCTCATTTTTTATATTGTATTCATATTAAATTATGTTCCATCCCTAAATATTTGATGTTAAAACGAAAGCCCTGTTTCCCCTGAATAAAATGATATATAATAAGTGTGGGTGCATTTAATATGAAAGAGGTAAATTAGGGATTATTCTAGCCTCGGTGAGGGAATAATCTAAATTTTATTAAAAGACAGGAGGCGAATATTTGCTTTACTGAAACCTCCAGCAGCAAAGAAACAGTTAACAGAACTTTTCAAAACAACCAATCAGAACAAAGCAAAAGTAGTATAAAACCCCTAAGCAGGCTCTTCCACTTCCTCTTTCTTTGATGAGGTCGAGCAGGAGAGCAAGGAAACCAACGAATCCACCTTGTAGCAGACACATCCAGAGAAACAATCGTCAAGCCCAGAGAGAAAACAGATTACACTGCAAGAAAACATTGTGAAAGTAAACTGTCAAGGCAAGATGTCATATCCATACAATATCACTTGCACATCATAATACCTGATGAATAAACAAAGTCTACAGATCTTATTCAGACCTAGTATCTAGTATGTACCTTAACTAAAAGACATTGACGAAACATAATTACAACACAAACATGATGAATAAAACGCACACGGACAATCATCACTGAATAACAGAAATAAAGGTTATGTAAAACCATGCATTCACAAAACATAACAATATCCCCAATTATTTATAACAGAATAAGACCCAAATCCAGGGAGGGAACATAAAAAATGGGGGTGGGGAAATAGTCGCCTCTTGTCTTTAATAAAATTTAGATTATTCCCTCACCGAGGCTAGAATAATCATTAATTTTATGGCAGGACAGGAGGCTTCATAGTTGCAATTTTAATGCCCAAATAGTAGAACCAGAAGCAATATGAGATAGAGGACTGAAATAAAAGGAGAATGGAAAAACCGAATCCCTAAACCAAGCAGCGGTGTAGAGAAAATGCAGAAGGGACCCAACGGCTTCCAAAGTTGTTGAGGTGACAGCACCCCGAACCAAAAGTGTCCCAGTGAAACTCAAAGTCAGCCAATGAGAGGATCTACCAAATCCAACGGGCGAGCGAAGATGCAGAAACAGTCCAAAACGGCTGTATGCAGAAAACAGCTGTCCATGAGTAGACGGACGAAAGAACCAGATCCTGGATCTACATTGTGTACAACCTGTCAGAGCCGTGGCCTATCCGGAGAATAGGGGTACGACACAGGGGATGAATAGAAATGAAATGTGTGGAGCAGAAGCCGATGTACTGAACGGCAAGAAGGAAGAAGACACTACGTCGATACCATGACGTCAGAACGCAATGAAATACAAGATGTACTGGGGAAAACCGTAAGCGGAAAAAACTGGCGCAAGGCAAGTCCTTGTCATCAGGTCATTCCTCAAGGAAATGCAGAACATACGATACCACTAGAATTGAGGAATAGCGAGAGATAGGGCTGCCGTATGGTATACTCCTCTTGGTAGACCAAGAGATCCCTAGCAATGCCAGAATCTTGAGAAAACGCATGAGTCGTCCACTAGCTGACATAGGACGTGAATGGCCCCATACAATCCTACCCTGAGAGGGCAACTCAGCCAGACAAAGGGGACAGCCATGATAAGGACCGCTATAGGGACCCAAACATCTCTCCAGACACCAGTCGTGGCAGGCTACCCATGTGGATCCCACACGGGACATTAAAAGACAGTGAGTCGTAGATTGCCTTCCCATGGCAAACTCCAGCAAAAAGGGGAAAGCATGGAGGACTCCTCCGAAGTGGTGTGGCCAGGTGAAACGACACTTCCAGGAATTCGGTCTGAAGCAAAGCACAAAGTATCCTGTAGGTAAACGGGATGCATACGCCCCGAAAGAGACCAAGCTTGGAAAACGCGTCCCTCGCCTCGCTGAGGGTCCGGCAGCCAGCTGGAGAACCGCTCCCTATGGCGGTTCGCACTGAATGTAATCATGCCAGTACTCGAGACCCCGGAGGGTGAGGCAACCAATCATTGGGGTCTCTCCATGGTCGGGTGAAGCCGTCCGCCACATGAGTGTCTCGTCCCACAGACATTCTGTCACAAATGACGAATACTTGTCCAGAAGCTATAGATAGCGATCCTACGTGAGATCCGACTGCAGTCCGTAGTGGACAACCGGTGATAGGTCCATGGCGGAAGGTAGCGAGCAATACTACTTCCCCTGTGGAAGCTGCGAATGGTGAACAAACCTGCAGGTAGTTCCATGCAGTTGGCATGAAGAGGTCCCTCCTCCGGACTCCAGGGTCCAAGCCGAAGTTGGTTGGGGTCCGAAACTCTTAGGTAGGCCAGGTCCCCCTATGTCAGAGTCATCAATTAAGTTTTAGATGAGCTTCGTCTGAAGGTCACATGATTCGGTCGTACCAGGCCGAAGACCCGAGAAAGCGTCACGTTGGAGCGGCTGATAGTACCGGATCCTGGAGGTATGGCCTCCATGGCGAATAACAACCGGTCAATTGACCGGGTTTGGTCCCTAAGTGACCCGCGGGTTGCGAAGCATATTCCTGGTATTTTCCTTGAAGATGGACATCTTGGTCCTCGGGAGGCGGAGCACCGCCTGGACTGAATATTCCATGAAAGACCAGAAACTGGGATGACTGGGAGTGAGTCGGATTCAATATGTCCATGTTGATGGCGAAATCCATGCGGGTTTCTCTCATGTCCAGTTGAGGGAGAGAACCAATTGTCCACGCCGAGCAGCTCTGAATGGATGAGTGCCCTCCGTCTCGAAGTGTCAACAGGCGACATATGCACTGAGAGCATGTAGCGTGGGGATGGGGCGGGAGTCCACTCCACCGCACCCTTCGCCCAGCAGGGCAACTTCGAAATGGACGCCTCTTTTGGTCATGCGTATCGCTCATGGAACGGTCCAAGGTTCCGCAACCTTGATCCTGAGTCCGGGCACTGTCCGAGAGACCTCTGGGGCTAGTTAAGGGGGAACCCTATGAATAGAGACGTGTCAGCTCAATTTGTACGTGAGGGTAACTCCGGAGAGCAGACCCAGCACTTGGATGCCAAATACATCAGTTTGATGTCCAGCTTGGACAGGGGCAGTTTTGCGGTTCTCAAACCAACTAGGTGATACCTATAAGTCATATTGGTCCATTCCCAATGGGAATTTAGTCTTCTCCGCTTTCCAAGCTGTAATGCGCCATTCGTCTCGAGGAAACATCTGTGTCCGCGTGTCATCGACATCCAGTGGTTAGTCCCGGATAGAGTGCAAACCCTGTGTCAGGTGTTTGCGGTGTCCTTTCCGGACTTCCGTCATGAAGACTGATCCTCTTGATGAATCCGTTAGCCAACGAGTACCAGGGGTGCTTGGTGTAGCGTCTAGGATGGCCGGTGGAGTGTCCCCTGTAAGGTACCAATGGTTTCTGGCAGTGAGGTCAGCGGGGCTGCATGAGGACAGGCCAAGTGACCTTCTGGGTACGGGAGATTTGTCCTTCAGTCGTGATTGCATAACTGCCATAGAGGTAACACTGTCGGAGTGATACCTGGTGCGGCCAGCTGGGGGTCACCCAGCGTGCAAGTGGGGGTCACCCAACAATCACAAGCATACCATGCAGTATAGGCCAGCAGGGGAGGGGGTCACCCTCAGTCTGAACATAATCAGACACTGTAGGTGCAGTAGTGGTTAGCCATATAATAAAGTAACCAGACATTGCTGGTCCCGCAGTGCAGACGGCAGGAGGGGGTCACCCTCATATAACCATAACCAGGCATTGCAGATCCAGCAGTGTTGTACGTAAGAGGGGGTCACCCTCAGTGTGGTATCATAGAGGTCTGTACACCCAGTAGTGTAGTCAGCGAGAGGGGGTCACCCTCATTATAGTTATAACGGGACCCTGTAGGTCCAGCAGAGTAGTCCACAGGAGGGGGGTCACCCTCAGTATCTGCGTATAGCAGGGCACTGTAAGAACAGAAGCTCAATCAGTGGGAGGGGTACCCTCTTTTATAGGAATACCGGGACGCTGCAGGTCCAGCAGTGCAGACTGTAGGAGGGGTTCCCCCTCGGTATGATAATAACAGGACATTGCCGGAGCATTAGTGTAGGAAGCAGGAGGGGGTCACCCTCAGCATTAATCCTACAGGATGCCGTAGAGCCAGCCAGGGTACTCATTGGTAGCCATGTTGCCAGAGGGAGGGGGTCACCCAACCCACAATGGTGTCACACATCCATTATTATAGTCCAGTAGAGGGTAGAGCACCAGAAATATGGACAGGGGGGTGGGTCACCCCCCATAATAACAGGACTGTATGTGGGGCCAGTTAGCCCCCCTGAGGAGTAGAAAGGTCCATACAGCTAGAAGCTGACTCATCTACAGACCACTCAGGTATTATATTAGGATATACTTTTGAAGGTGTATGTATAGTGGAAAAATTTAAGTCCCTTGCAGGAAGGGCAGCAAATCCTAGGCAGGGGAGCTAGGTGCTGAAAAACAGGCCATTTAAATTTTTGAGAAAATTACTGAACCTTAAGAGAAAGACTTGATTAGCATATATCACATGTGGCATAGTCTTGTTAAACAATGATTTTTTTTAAACAATGATTTTTATTTGAGCAGTAACATGCCCCTTTAAATCTGAGATTCCCATTTAATTAGTAAAAGAAGTGTGACAAGTCTACTGCTAAGATAGAAAACATAGTCACATTGCATCAGACATCACAGTAAGCTGCAGTTGTGAGCTGTGAGAGTGCCTGGGACAGATCCTGCTATCCAGGATCTGTTACATATGCAGCAAGTGAGAAAGGCACAGTAAATAGGGGGATAGCTGAAAAACCGGGCTATCTCCCCTGATATAGGGAGAGGGGAGGGTGGCCACAGCAGGCCAGTTTGGAGTGTGAGACCGGGCTGTTCGCAACACACAGAGCCCATGCGGCTCCGAAATAATGGCCGCCGCAGCCGCAAAAGCCGAGCGCAGCCTACCGCGTGGTGATCGTGCGACACTGCCACGGTTGAAAAAGCTGTTCAGCAAGCGGCCAGGGGCTGCGGGGAGCAGGTGGGGAATAAGGGAGTAAGTGTATGGGTGACAGATCCCAGCAGGGGAAACAGAGTACAGGCAGAGCCAAAGCATCATAGCAGGGGCACCCATTCCCCATACAGCAGAGTGAGTAAAACTGCATAAAGTAACCCAGAATAACAATAAATCAATGAGCAGTATCCAGAATCTATCAGATAAATAGCCTACAGCAACAGATGTTAACAAATGATAATGCAGCTACATAGCATGAAGTGGTATAGGAAATAACACAGTAGGATTCCCGCTTATGGGATATATCGTGGGTATCTCTCCGTCAGTGGTGTCCAACTCTCAAATTAAAAAGACTGCTCTTGTGTGTCAGCGTAGGTGGATAAATCCCCACCTCAGGATTTCTTGGGACAGGAGACTTCCAACGCTGATACACAAGAGCAGTTGGTCTGCTCCTCATTTGTAAGTACATTTTTATCTACTTATAGATAACCTGTTGTTTTAACCTGTCTTGTTTTAAAAGGGTTTGGAGGGTTTCCCTTTTTAAGGTTGCTGCCTATTAGTTAACTAGCGCTGTCTCTTTTTTTATATTTTTAAACCTAGCAAATAGACTGATAAAATAGACTGTTTAAATAAACAAGCAGCATGTAGGATAAAAAAAAACAACCAAGAGCAGAGACAGAGACAACTCTGAGTTGGTGAGTGCTCACCTGGAGGCGGCAGCAAAGAAAGAGGAAGTGGAAGAGCCTGCTTAGGGGTTTTATACTACTGTTGCTTTGTTCTGATTGGTTGTTTTGAAAAGTTCTGTTAACTGTTTCTTGGCTGCTGGAGGTTTCAGTAAAGAAGGTAAAGCAAATATGAAGCCTCCTGTCCTGCCATAAAATTATTGTTGAACAGACATATAGTAAAATTCTGTGTTTTATTTTGGCTCACAACTTGTACATTTGGCTGTGGTCTTAAAGGGGTTAAAATGTATGGCCATAGTAGCTGAAGAGGACTTTGAGAATGTTTCGAATGTGGCTATTATGATCTTACATTTTAAATTCAGAGTAAATTCTCACTTTCGGAAAAAAGAAACCCCCCAAAAAAAAAACCCAGAGAGGGTTAGATGATACCCGGAGGGTAAAAGGGGAAGGGAGAAACTGTAAGAGGAAGGAGTGGAAGTCAAAGGCAAAACATAACTAATATATAAAAACTGACAATGCACATAAATAGAGAATAGAAATGATGAAACTGCTTAAAGCAGCACTGTCATGGCCGAATCCCGTTTTGTTTTTTTAACCCCCCTCCCTTATCTCTAATTGACCCCCTAGTCACCCCCAAATGCCCCTAAGCCCCCCCACATTACCTATTTTTTCATCTTTATTTTCTGCCCCGATCTATATTCAGGGCGCCGCCATCTTTGTGTGCGTAGAAGAAGTCCCTGTGGGACACGTCATCTGCCCACACTAGATAGCACTGAGATTCCCGCACATGCCCAGTGAAACACTTGGACATGCAAATGGGAATTTCATCTATTCATTCATTCATCAGAAAGAGGAATGAATGAATAGAAATGTCAGACGAACAAACACACACTGTGTATCAGTGTTCATTTAGTTTATTACAAGGAGGGAGCTACCGGCACGCAGCTCCCTCCTTGTAATATGTAAAGATAGAAGCGTCAGGGAGCAGTGCACCCTGCCACTTCATAAGCCCCCCAGTTCCCCCCTCCCTCCCCCACCCCTGAGCAGTGGCCCTAAAAAACAATAAGGGGGAGGGGTGGAATCTACTGTCCTCCCCCCCTGGCCCCCACCCCTGCGCGGCGGGTGGGGGCCCTAAAAAACAATAAGGAGGGGGACCTACTGTCCTCCCCCACTGCCCCCACCCCTGAGCGATGGGTGGGGGCCCTAAAAAAAATAAGGGGGGGGACCTACTGTCCTCCCCCCCCGGCCCCCACCCCTGAGCGGTGTGTGGAGGCCCTAAAAAACGATAAGGGGGGGGGAACCTACTGTCCTCCCCCCTGCTCCAGCTCCCACCCCTGAGCTGTGGGTGGGGGGTGAACCTACTGTCCTCCCCCCGGCCCCCACCCATGAGCGGTGGGTGGGGGCCCTCAAAAACAATAAGGGGGGGGACCTACTGTCCTCCACCCCCCCGGCCCCCACCCCTGAGCAGTGGATGGGGGCCCTAAAAAAGAATAGAGCGGGGGGAACCTACTGTCCTCCCCCGCCCGGCCCCCACCCCTGAGCGGTGGCCCTAAAAACAATAAGGGGGGGAACCTACTATCCTCCCCCCCTGGCCCCAACCCCTGCGCAGCAGGTGGGGGGCCTAAAAAAACAATAAGGGGGGAAGACAGTAGGTGGGTGGGGGCCCTAAAAAAATAAGGGGGGGACCTACTGTCCCACCACCCCACCTAAAAAACAATAAGGGGGGGGACCTACTGTCCTCCCCCCTGCCCCCACCCCTGAGCGGTGGGTGGGGGCCCTATATAGGAATGGTGGGGGGGACCTACTATCCTCCCCCAGCCCCCACTCATGAGCGGTGGGTGGGGGCCCAAAAAAAAACCAATAAGGGGGGGACCTACTGTACAAAGTGTACAATATGAGGTTGGTTTAGGGAAATATAAACAGAATTAAGAATATTGGGAAAATATAGGGGAAAAGTAAAACCTCAGCTTTTTTTTCTTAAAAAATATGATCCGATGGGCCAACTGGCAATTATCTTCCCAAAGCTGTTAGCTGAACATAGTGATGTAATGGTTTAGATACTTCATGTGAATACCACATACACTATTTCAATATGGGTCATTTATCGCGTTTCCCTTCAATTAGGGCTAAGCAGTGGGCACATACTTTCATATGTTAGTGTATTTCATTGCATTTAAGAATTTAGTAATCAGGATCCTCCAATAATGCAATAAAACAACATTAAACAAAATAGTATATTAAATTCTTTACAGCGCCTTCCGACAACAACAGGAATTAAAATCCCATCACACCTAGCCAACATGTGTATGGTAGATTTAATCTTGTAATTAATGGGGATGTGTTTGATAGGAAAGGTTCTTCTTCCTTTGACATTAAGGAAAATATATATATATATATATATATATATATTAAATACAGCAGTGCAGATGGAAATGTAACAGCATTCACAGACAGCATGTGTCCTATCGACTGGTTAACGCACCTTCCATGTCCCCAGTCCCAGGATGGGCATCTGAGCTCCGGTGTACAGCTTGACATGTGTTGGTCCTGGCATGCTGACAAGGAAAAATACACTGACTCCTCACATGCAGTAGCAAGCTCCTACAAAACACTGACAGTGAAACATTCCAAAGGCGTGACGTTCTGCCATTTCGCAGAACGGGGGTGTAAAGGCTCTGCTGATTGGTTACAAGGAGTAAGCAGGCAGGATTAACTCATTCATTGCCTATTGAGAGACAGGGAAACATTCATGAAAGGAATGCTCAAAGCACCAGAAGCATTACTGCTTAATATATGTATCTAGTATAAAGAGACTGTCCCTGCAGTCTTTTAACCCCTTAAGGACAGAGCTTCAGAAGCTTGTCTTTCACTTAATGACAACAGCATTTTTTTTAATGTTTGCGTTCAACTGCAATTTGCATTTTACTAATTTATTGCACCAACACATTATATATCGTTTTTTAAAGGACAGAAAGGGCTTTAATTTGATGTAACACACATATATATATATATAAATGCTTATTTATTATAAAAAAAATAAAAAATACAGAAATATGCAAAAAAGAAATGTGCGCATAATTAGTGCAAGTTAAGGAAAGTAATTAAAAATAAATTCATTTAGTTGTTCTGATTTACAGAATATATAATGTCTGGGATTTTAAGGGTTTTTTGTAGTTGCAGGTCACAAAGCACAAGGAGTAAACTAAACCTTTAACCCCTTAAGATCGGAGGGCGTACTATTACGCCCTATTTTAGGTGGCTCTAAACGCCGCCAGGCGAGTTAGTACGCCCTCCGGTCTTTCTATACTTACCCAGTCGCCAGCGATCCCACGCCAGCGATCGTGGTTGGGGGGACTCCCAGGGAGCCCCCCGCTGCACGTCCGACCCCCTGGCAGCCCCCCCTGGCCATGTGAGAGTGAGGTCCTGGCGAGGACCTCACAAGCACATGGCCGGGTTAGCTGGCTGCAACATTGTTATATATATTTATATATAATATAAAAAATATGTAAATACGTTAAAAAATTAAATAAAAAAATATATAAAATGTGTGTTATTTCGTTCTAACTGTATTGTGATAATATATATATATATATATATATATATATCAAAATACACGTAGAATATATATCTATATACATAAATATATACGTATATATCACTATACGTCCCAGGTCCCAGCACTCAATGCTCCCGGTCCTTTAATGCTCCGGTGCTGTCTCCAACCAAATTGTATACAATACCAGCAGAGAGCACTCAGGAGTCTTTCAAGGTAAATTTCATCTGTTGCTTTATTGAGCAATTACAAATTCACACAACGTTTCAGTCTGTAAAATACTTTTTTCAAGACAATTGTGTATGTGAAATGGATACCTTATATACAAAAAATGCAGTGATCCTATTTGGAGGTGAACAGGTGAAATGTAACAATGGATCAGAGTGATGTCATTAATGACATAAACATGTTTAAATTACGTAATAAATTAAAGTTAACCCTATGTGTACCTGGTATGTGAAACATACTCTCGTGTAGATAAGTCAGAGAGTAATAAAAGATAAATAACTATAAAAATAAAGTATATACAAATGTTTCAACCCTAACCAAGGGAACATAGATACATAGTACATATCGTCATTAACTAAATATTAACTCAGTTATATAGCAAAATATTGTCAGTGTAATTTTGAAGCAATATGCGATATGGACTACTTCCATCATGGAGTTATGGCAAATAACTGTACTATATTAATGCATCCTGTAAAACATAGCTCAATCATATATTATCTTCTAGGTAAAAAAACAATATAATGAGTTCTTCTCATTTAAACCAGATAGTGATAATGTTTCCAACGTGTATATCCAGAAAGCCTCACGTCTGAGTAACAGGTTATCACGATCTCCTCCTCTGGGTGAGATGGGTATGTGATCTATTCCCATAAAGCGAAGTGAGGACAGGCTATGTCCCATCTCAAGGAAATGCCGGGCGACTGGAGTGCCGCTCAGTAGTGCTGACCGTATAGTAGACCTGTGACCCCGCATGCGTTCCCTTAGGTCATTAGATGTCTTGCCCACATAAGTGAGACCACAGGGGCATATAATTCTATACACAACATGTGTGGTCCTGCATGTAATCCAGTGTTTAATTGTGTACACCTTTCCAGATTTTGGAAGGTTTTACCCGGTATCATAGATTTGCACGCCAGACAGTTCAAACAGCGAAAACATCCTGCTGTTGTCACTTTCTGTAATGACTGTGTTGTGGACACTATATCTGCATGCACCAAATAGTCTCTCAGATTTTTCCCTTTTCTGTAACTCATAATGGGATGTTTTTTTAAATACAGGAGGCAGTGATGAGTCATTGTAAAGAATGTGCTAATTTTTTTGAATGGTATTTCTGAGTTTTTGGGACTTTGGATGAAATGCCTGAGGGAAGATGAATCGATCACCGATGTCTTGATGAATCCTGTTTTCTGCAATTCATTCTATTGCCTTTGTGTATGCCACATTCAAAATCGTGTTTGAATATCCTCTTTGTAGGAATTTTTGGAACATGTCCTGAATCTGTATCTTCGCCCGGCTGTCATCTGAGTTATTGCGCAATACTCTTATGAATTGGGAGATAGGCAGTGACTCTTAGTTTTCTAGGATGGAAACTTGTAGAATGCAGAATAGTGTTCCTATCCGTTGATTTAGAAAACAGAGTATAGCCCAAGCGATTGCCTGAGATGAAAATCTGAAGATCCAGGAAATTGATATTAGTCATACTCGACTGGTAAGTGAATCTCACAGGTGTAGGAAGTGAATTCAATGTGTGCATCATGTAAGCAAACCTTTCCTCTCCACCAGTCCATAGAAGAAGGACGTCATCTATAAAGCGGAGGTATTGTAATATATGTTCTCCATAAGGCCCAAGGATCTGTTGTTGCTCAAAAACAAACATGTATGCATTTGCATACATGGGGGCCATAGGAGCCCCCATTGAAGTTCCTGTCTGTTGTATATAGAATTTTGTTTCAAATCTAAAATAGTTCAAAGTGAGGCATAGCTTCAAAAGTTCCAGTATATACTCCAGAGGGGGATTCACCCACTCAGTAAAATTCTGTAGAACTTCCTTGATTGCTAGTATACCATCATTGTGTGGGATTATTGTGTATAAGCTAGACACATCAATCGTTGCTAGTAAAATCCCCTCTGCTGGTACTGGGATATTGTTAAGATGTTCAATAACAGCTACACTGTCTTTGACACAGGTAGGCAAAGATAACACTGGAGTTTTAAATATCTTGTCCAGCCATTTACCGATGGGCTCCAATAAACCACCAATTGCTGAGACTATAGGTCGTCCCGGGGGGTGAATGGGGTCCTTATGCACTTTTGGTAGTGTGTACAACACCGGACACCTGGGGTGAGTTTCATGTAAGTACTCAAATTCTTGTTGTGTTTTATAGTGGTTTTCTACCCCTCTCTGTAGTGTTGCAAAAATAGTTTTCCCAAATTCCACGGTTGGATCTATTTCAGAGCATTTGTACACTTTATCATCTGAAAGTCGTCTTAGAATCTCATTTCTATAGTCTTGATATTGCATCAAGACAATAAACCCACCTTTGTCCACTGGACGAATAGTGATGGTAGTATCTGCAGCCAAGTTGTGAAGGGCATCCCTTTCAATTTTGGAAATATTGGCACCTTTTTTGGTCTTATTGAGGTAACGTCTGCTTTCAGATCTTAGGCTCTGTGAGAAGACCTTCAGGGAAGCGTTATTACTCGGTGGATCAAATAAACTATATAACTTCATAGTTTCTTGCTGTTCATTTACAACGTTCTCTGGGCGAGATTTAAAGAAGTCAGCCAGTCTTAGTTTACGTTGGAATCTATATTGATCAACTTCCCATTCAAAGTCATTAATATCAGTGGTGGGAATAAATGACAGTCCTTTTGATAACAATGTGGTTTCAGGTATTGTTAATATTTTGCTTGATAAATTAATGATAGGGTTATCAATTACCTGCGAGGAGGTCTCCCTCTGATGCCGGTATGCCTTCCCCTTCTGGCCTCGCCTGGCTGGTCTGTTTCGGGTAAATGTCGATTTGTGTCGCTTATTTTTCTTTGATGTGTATTCGTCAATACAGGTTCCCTGGTTAGGCCCAAGCCTGGCTCTAAAAAAACTACATTGTTGCTTTTACTTGTTTCAGTTCTTTGATGAGTGCTTTCTGGGCGTTGGCTAGTATGCTCTGTTTCAGACGCTGATTAACTCAGATGACAGCCGGGCGAAGATACAGATTCAGGACATGTTCCAAAAATTCCTACAAAGAGGATAATCAAACATGGTTTTGAATGTGGCATTGTCAGAGTATTTATATTGGCAGACATTTTGTGCTATGATAGAAACTAAAAGTGTATATTCTGAGTCACTCGGAACAGACCAGACTCCATTTTGTTATTTCAAGTTAACAGAAAGACACTATATTTCTATCTGTAAGCTAACCACTTTCCCAGAGCTGAGGAATGCATAGTATATACAAGCCAAGTGATAAGGAAGGGGGTTGGACAGACTGTCTAATGCTAATGGAATATAATCAAATTTAAACCCAGACAATTGTGACAGAGAAGATTAAATAATTTAATATTTAACTGTCTATACATATAAGGTACCATTGTATGGAAAAGGGTAAACTTAGTTCATGATCTGTCATATCAGAAATTATAGCAGATTTGCAGACACATAGTCTGGACAAAATTTAAGAACCCCTTTGATCTTTGAAGGATACGTAAGTTATAGCCACTATCTAGATAGGCCAAAATGACGTCAAAATAGCCACCAGGAAAAGTTAACCCTTTCCTGGATAGGTATGTTTAGTGGGACAAGACTGCCCTCTATAGACCAAATACCTAATTTGCGATCTGGAAGATAACCACACCTCTAGTGCTTCTATTGGGTTATCAACTGATGACGTACAGAGAGTCTGGCCCTTTAAAAGTTAAGACAAAGGGAAGATAGAGATATACGAAAGAGGAGGCAGATGCAAGATATGCAAAGGAGGGGAGAGAGGAATTGGAAGTTTGGGGATTCCAACTCGGACAACATCTGAGACTAACACTCTACTCCTAAAACTCTAACACTTAGAATTTACTGACTTTCTAACCAACACCTCCATGCAGAGAGACTACCAATCGGATGAAATATCTACTCAACTGGTAATTATACTGGTTTCATTTAATTAATTAAATTAATTAAATTATATTAATAGCATTATATATGACTGGATAAAGCACGGTCAGATTTCCATATTAAGAAATCTTAGTTAACTAAGAATATATAGTTATAAATATTCCATTCTGCAGGTGGAATTAAGAATAATTATATATTGATGTGATATTATCACGTGTTAGCATACCGCTGTTTTATCCAGGTGTATTGATTTGCTCTAAATTAAGATAGATATCTTTTAGACAAATTAAAAATCTGCTTATATAATATGTAGATTCTCTTATTGGATTGTTTTCAGGAAATGGCTAATGAACTGGTTAAATGTTATTTTATTTAAAAATTACATCAGAATAGATCTTAACTACCTAGGAGATCTAGCCAGCATTGAAAGGGTTATTCTAACTGTCGGCTAAACTTTACGACCTTACGCTGCACTCTGAGGAATTCTGTTCTCTGTGTGAAAAGTTTCACTTTCAGCCTGTGTTAAAGATAGTCATAAATCGTCAGAATTCTGGACAGAAAATGCTAGTTAGCCATTGAAACGTAATACCCATTCCTTTGTATTGCATACCATTTCATACTGGATATTCATTGATTATTGTTATGCATGTTACATAATATTATTTGTTAATTATTGATTATCATAAATAAAATCTATTTTTATACATTGTGATATTAATTATATGAAATA